CAGCATTGAAAATATTCGATGCAGTACCCGCTGATGGAAGCGGTTTTAAAAATTAGGCGTGAACCAACCAAAGGTAAATAAACCATGCAACAAAGTATAAATAAGTGGCAACAAAAGTGGGACTCGTCTCAAAGTTACATAAAACAAAAGCTAATCCCAAACAAATCGATCGGAAGACAGCATGGTGAAACTGACTATTCTCTCACTCAATTTCTCTCCGGACATGACTAATTCAGTACAGTGGACAATCCATATTGTTTGCATTGAAATGGTGAGATGGAAAGATCCGAGATACTGCAGCTGATTTAACGATGAGCTCAAACAGCTCAGGCAATGGGAACGAAGCACATTGACTGAGAAAACATACTCGGGGCAATGATTTTTCAAGAACATATTTGGCTAAAATGCACAGGTATCATAGAGCGCGCCGGGAAGTGTGTGAAGATGCCAACACAGCTTTGATAGGAGATACATCATTTCCGGACATACTTAATAACCAATTAACCTGCCCTATATCGATTCGAGGCGGGAATATGAGGGGAAGATGAATTTGAGACAGAACCGTTCTCACAAGAAAAACTAGAAACTAGGGCATTCCTCCCGCAGTAGAATATGGTAGACTGATCGAAGGGCAGTGAACCGGTACAAACGGTCTCCAAACCAGTATTAATATCGAGGAAGATTCTTTTGTGTCTTTTGTGGGGTTGGTAGCGATCCATTAACTATGAGCTGCTCCCTACGGCAAAACTATCAATTTGGACCTCCACTGTCAGCAATTGGACTGTCTGAAGGAAACGATTGCCCAGAAACGCCCAGCTTTGACCACCTTGAAGGGAATTGTGTCACATCTAGACAACGGCAGACCACACACACCGATAGTGACTCGCCGGAAGCTCCTAAAGTTTTGTTGCGAGGTTCTTATACATTCACTTAAAAGTCCGGACCTCGCACCAAGTGAATATAATCTGTTCGCTTCTTTGGACAATGATTTGACACGTGAAGAATTGGTCTCAAAAAAAACTTTGTGTCAATAGGATCTATATGAGAGAAACATAATAGCGTTACGTTCAGAAATCGAATGATACTAATTATGGTAAATAAAGGTTTCAATTTATTGCAAAATCAATGGATTACTTTTTACTAGATCTTGATGAGAAAGAAAAATGCCTAAATTCAGTAACTATGTAGACTTATTCAAAATACAAACACACTTAAGTCTTTCAAGATTTGATTTATTTAAATACAAAATAATCATGGCAATAAATCAGCATATTCAGCAATAAATAATAATGAAAAATAAAATATTCAATTTTTTGAAATCGCTGAGCGTAGCAGATTCTATACAATTTAGCCTTAGCTTTATGCGAGTACCTTGCCGAAAAAGCAAGTTAACGATTTAATGTAAGCAAATGGAAATGTTTGCATCTCTTTTATTTACATATTTCCTTACATCGACTTAGGCTTTGTGAAATTCTCTAACTTCCTTCCTTATACCCAATAACAATCACCTTTCTGCCAAGTAGGCTATCAAGATCCGAGGATATTGTCATTATGTATAAGCGCTTGCCATCAATTTCCCTCGTGTACACACATCCTGTTTACCAAATATACCAGGAGTTAAGCGACTGAAAGTGGCACAACAGGCAATTGATGCATCAGCCAACTATACTCTGACCTTAATATACATATATATATACACATATGTATATGTACTTACGACCTTATACTTATTGTAAATACAACAACTTATTTACAGATTAGCTCACAGGAAAAGGTTATTCATTTTGTAGTTGTACGAGATTTAATCCCAGGAGATTTCATTCTTGGCATAGAAATCAGTGTTGTGAGATATTTTCTAAAGCATAAGCATTACGCTTTGTGTGGGTAATTGCTTAATTAGTTTCTAATAATTAGTAGAACTCGGTTTAAATAGTGATTCAACCATTAACCACAACAGTGTAGGTGGCTTCCAATTGGGTTTAAAGTCAAAGTAAAGGAAAATGTGCTAGAAGCATTCTAGATAGCGCCATCCATCCATCACCAGCGATACTAATGAGTTTTGTATTACTAAAAAATAATACAGTGTTATCCATTTTTGTGGTATTGCATTTAAAATTTTTTTTTTTCATAAGTTTCCCTCCTGTACTCTGTGGAACAATTTGAATTCTCAGAAAAGTCGTACAGCATGACCCAGAAATGTCATTTCTGTTGTGAAGCAGGGTATCGAAGAAGACCTAATGGAATGCATCCACCATCGCGCGCAACACATGGAACTGTGTCCAATCACTATATAGAATATTTTTCTGAAGGAGCTTGGCTTGTAATCCTTCAAAATCCAACTCCTGCAATAGTTGATGCCGAAGAACAATCAAGGCTGTCCCAAAGAAGCATCATTTTTGGTGAATGGACCCAACTGGCGATGGTCAACGATATTATTGTTTACAAGATAATTTTTCCAGCGTTGAAGCTCACTTTTGTTTTAATGGGTACGTTAGTAAACAAAATTATAAAAATTGAAGTGATGATAACCTACAAGCCATTGTTGAGACGCATTCATAATAATTATATATAATTTTGGAGCTTGTAACCGCTGAAGCGATTTTCGGCCGAGCTCCTTCTCCAATTTGTAGTTCTGCGTATTGAGGTTTTTTCCAACAAACGGAGGGACCTACAGTTTATACTAAGCCGCCTCCGAATGGCTGATGGCTTTTTTACGAAAAGCCTTTATTTCATGTCCGAAATGAACTTGGAGGAGTGGACATTCCTTGCCGAGGGGCGACCGCAACTTAGTTTTTTAATTAAATTAATTTTCCATAACTTTTGGATGCTGCTGGCACCCGGACATGAACCCGGGCCTTCCGAATGGCAGTACGCAATGCTAACAACTCGGCTACCGCGGGCGACGCATTCACATTTTAAGAAAGTCACAGTCAGAGAGCGATGGTTAATGAATTGTTCGTGCTTGAATTGGAAGTTGTTGATGTGGACAATCTTCGGTTACAACAAGACGGCGCTGCATGCCATACAGCCAACGAAATAAGCAATGAATTGAATGCTCTTCGTGAACATGTTAAGGGCCTGTGACATGGCCTATCGTGCGATTTAATATTTTTCCACATTTTTCTTTGTGAGAGGATATGAAGTGACTTGTCACGATACCATTGACGTGTTGAAAGAGAATATTTGGCGTATTATAGCTGATATCTTGTAGCGTTTGTTGAAAAAGTGCCAAATCCTTTTCTTTACAACAAAGCTAAGTTCTTGGCAATGACCTTAAACTAAATACGTCTGATGTCTCCGTGAAAACCACATGTTTAAAAAAATACCCTTCATTTACACAGTATTTTATATAGCAACGAAAAACTTATTCATCAATTTTTCATCATCAGCCACCATATGCTAATAACAACACTGCGAACATACTCACGCACCGCTTACGAGTAGATACTCAAATTATGCAAAATTGCCATCGGCTTTAGAAGAAAATCGTCAGATGTTCACACCTAATACATATCGCTCAGCATGTTCAACACTGAAAAGTTGGATGAACCATATATCCAGGTATATGTGAATAGATGACTATGGGTGGCCATGAATACGTATGCACAATCAAAGCTGTGGAGGCCATTTGTCCGATGTGTTATTTCATAAATAACCATTTTCTATGCATTACACGATTTATTAAAAAAAATCAAAATTTGAACATTAAAAACTGTGTTTTCAATTTCAATTGATATTTTCCGTCTCCAAAAATCATCGAAATCGAAGGATGATATTACATAAAGTGCATACAACCGATTTAAAAGCCTTCAAATTGGAATGGTCATGCCTTCTTCACACGTATATACAAATAAATATTCACAGCGAAAGTCATCGACATCTTAGAACTATATCATATTGTTACGAATATACTAAATCAACCTCGATGATTTCCTAAATCCTTCGGGTACGATCTCTGGATTGTTAAATAAAACTCGCCAACTTAATTTGCAGTTTCTTTCGTTATAAAGATTCTATCTAATGTCCTTTATTTACTCAGTGATTCACAATTCAATTACAAGACACTTTACTAGCTACAATCACTTGCATCAACTTTCACAATTTACTCTACTTAAATGTAATTCCCAACGCGTTCACTTTACGACTTCACTGATGTTAACGCCAACCAGTTCGCTTTGTCACTAACTTGACTTGCAGCTGAGTGTCGCCTTTATATAGCAGTCGGCTGCTCGCAGACGAAAGCGTAGAAGCATCGAATTGTTCGCTATGGAAGGTTCTTGTTTTACCGTTTCTAGAATGTACTAGTTATCGGCTTCTCTCTTTCATCTGACATTCGCCTCGCATTTTCGCAACAATATATTGAGATATTATTAATATTTAATCCTTGAATTAATTTTAAATGGTCGGGGCCAGCATGAAGACAGCTTTATTCTTGAAAAAAAAAATTAGCAAAAATTATTCAATTTTTTGTTTGATTTTTTTTCGTATACAAACAAAAGGAACTCTTTATGCTAAAATTAAAGCAGGGCCACATGTCAAACAGAGATGCTCAACTAACGTTGCGATGCCATTTCATTTTGTCAATATGAAATGATTTTATTTCGTTTCGGTAACATGTAATTGAACAGAAATTGTTAGAGTTGAGCCGCGCAAACTTATCGTTAACGTTAATTTCAAAATGGTTGATTGATATGATTCAACAGCAAACTTCAATGTTAACGTTTAACATTTTCTGTTAGCGATTTAACATTAACGCCAGCTTTTCGTTTAAATATTAATTTGAATTCTTTGTGCTAAATATATGTATTTTAAGATTATTTTCAGTAACATTTTTGATTTTTTTTTTCAAACTTATGGCAAAAATTGCTTGTATACATTACCTTCAATTAGACTGGAAGTATGAACATTTCGTGAAGAACATTTTCTAACATTTATTAACATTTGTATAAAGTTTTCAAATTTACAAAACAAACCCACACTTATTTTAATTAAAAATAATAATAAAAAATGAAAACATTTGCGACCAGTTGCGTGTGTTTGAACCTATTTATAAATATGTATGAGTATAACAAATAGCCCCACACTCACTTCAGGGTTTTCCCGGTTAAATAAATAACATTAAACTAATTTTCTTCATGACATTCCTTTTGTATTACAAAGGTTGAACCTTGGATTTAAATATGAAACACTACATCAAAACTTCCATCCGTATAAGATAATTTTCGAACATTTTTTAGCACGAACGAATTTTACGTGGGTTATAATAGTCACTTAGGCATCAGCTCCAATGACAAAATTCAACAACTCATCGGAAGAGATACCTCGTTTTGATGACGACTCATGCAAATGTTTTACGGATCACGATTTGTCGCTGCCCAGCTGGTTGATGTCGTCGTCAAACTAAAAGCCGACATCACTGCTGTCCAAGAAGTGCTATGAACGAGACAAGGATGGAAACAACTAGATCCGTGACTAGACCGGTCATATAAAAGCTTGCAAGTTCGACGTCGAATTCATGGTGGGAGAGAGACTCCGTCGCCGAGTAGTGGCATTCACTCCGATAGATGAACGTCTCACCATAATCCGTATGAATGTGATATTTTGTAGCACATCTCTGATTTGCGTCCACGCCCCGGCGGAAGAAAATGACGGTGTGACCAAGGATGCCTTTTATGAGCGGCTGGAGCGTACTAATAAACGCCATTGCTACTACGATGCTGAAATCGTGCGAGGCGTTTTTAAGGCTCATTTGTTTCGGCACAACAGTCCGAAAATTCAATGGCTACAACGAAACATTCCGAAAAAACAATTGGGACTGATCGACTTAGCCGGGGGACCGAATCCAGCATAAGAAAATTCATTAAGCTAATTGGCTGTCACCAGGTCGAAAAACTTATGTGTCTTCAGTGTTTTCGACGTGCTTTTTCGACGAGAATCGAACATCGACTGGTAGCAATAAGGACACGCATTCGCCTCTTTTCAGCTGAGAACGCTCAAGGAACAACGAAAGTTCGAAGTCAAAAAACTGTAATCGCAACAGACTTCCGAGTGTTTTTCAACTCGGCTTGCACTCCTGCTCTCTGAGAGCACTCATCAGCAGCTCGATATAAGGCAACTGTAAGACGGCATTTAAAGCTTCCTAAGTATAGCAAACAAAGCTATCGAAAGGGCCGAAAAAACAACTGGAACTGGTAGTGAGGACTGCCGTGTCACAGTTGAGAGAAAACAGACTGCCTAACTCGCAACCTAGCGATCGTCCACAGCATGTGCGTGGTGGGATAGATACCGAGAGATGAAGATAGAAGCAAGACGCATTTGCAGCGAAAATTTAAGAGGTCATAAGAGCCATGTACAAACAAAAAATAAATAGACGAGATGTGTGAGTATGAGGAACTTGAAAAGTAGGCCGACAAGAACATTGCGTGAAAATTCTGCAAAAGGTTATGGCGACTTACAGAAGGTTTCAAGACCGAAATAAAGGGCACAGAGGGGTGATCAATTGACTTATGCCCAAATTATACTGAATTTACGGAGGGAAAACTTCTTCGGCCTGCTGAATGGCAGTGAAGATAGAACAACCGGAGATGGCGAGCCGAAACCCCCATTGGATTGCCTTTTTTGTAGTAGATTTTAACAATTCTAATGCATTGTTTTTGAGCTCTGTTGTAAATATATTAGTGCATGTCTCCCATTCCCTTCTACAAAAAAAAATAAATAAATAAAAAATTAAATAAAAGATAATTCCCTTTGGCCACTTAAGAACATAAATCTTCAACAGATTCGCCTTGCAGCAACAACAAACGCTGCTGCTCCTTCTTCTTCGAGAGACCTTTAGTCTTGCCACGGCGATTGATAACGCCGTCTTCCTCGTCCATCATTCGCAAGATTGTGGTCTGCAAAAATATTTGCGGTAAGCAAGTAAGAAGAGCAGAAAAAATTAATTTAAATAGGAAAGCAATTTAAGTATTTTAAGAGTATTTAGAAAATGTGTCAAAATTTATTTTTTAATAAAGAAATTTATTTTTTTTATCTTTTAAAATATTGCTAAATTGCCATAAATTTATTTATTGAGTAGCGGAGCACTTAAAGTTACATATAAATTCAATAACACCTGCATACAAATTGATTTAAAAAATTATTCTCCACATTTCTAAAACACTCTTCGCCACTCTCGCCGCTACGCCTTAATTTATGAACTAACGGTAAAATTGATTGCACTTAAATACACTCAATATATAATACAATTAACGCATGCATACGCACACACCTAGCTGGGACAACACTCACCTGATCCGAACAGTCCATGGGCGCTACGGAGATGTCACGTACAGCACGAAATTTACCACAATTATTCAAGTGCTCATTCTCCAAGCGGAAATAGTTCCAAATGAAACGTCGAAATACCTCCAGTGGGCTGAGTATGGTCATCATAACATCACCTTCCATGTAACCTGCCTCAATTAAGCTCATCGATACGGTCCATCCGAAACGTAATACCAAATCCTCCATAATGCCAAAGTAGTAGAACCACTACACAAAAGAAGGAAGGAAAGAGAAAATGAAACGATAAATCAAAGTGAAGCAATTTCACTGCGCTCATACACATATATACGTTGTAAATACCCTGTAGTAATATATATCAAAGCGGTTCGAAAAATTACTAGTTTAACACTAGTTTCGTGGACCGAAATTTCAGTAGCTGCTTCCTTGCAACATTATATATGCTGCTTCCTAATTCTACGGAACTGTGGATCCCTCCATTTGTAGAAGAAATAAAAAGGCGTGTAACACAAAGTGGAAGATGAGATCGGCCAAAATTCGCTTCAGTGGTTACAAAGCGCCCACCATAGAAGTATATTATATATAATACGTGAGGTTCTTGCTTTAATTATGTTAAAATTTTCCATACGGTTTCTTGCATTGTAAGTCTCTCAGCAGCTTTGCTTGCCACATAAACATCAGCCTGGAAAATATTGCAGTCTAAAGTAAGCTGAGAACATTGCCTTAGATCTAGCGTATCGCAATAGATTTCGACACGCCTTCTATCAACCATGTTTGATCTATAGTCGAAATGTTGCTAGTCTCGCTGGTGAACTACATATTCCTGCGCCATCCACCCACTTTTGATGTGGCTTGAAACCTTCTTTTTCAAATAAATCGTTGGAATACGTAGTTTGTTATGTTCACCGCTCTCATTGACCTATGTCCGAAGGTTCCAGCAGAAAGCTCACCCAGCTCCACCAAACTCAGATTTCGCTGTAATACAATACGTTCTACTATATTGTCGTTGATAGTAGGCTGAGTAAACTTTCCTGTGCAGCCTTTTATATATAGTGCAGCGAGCTCCTATATAAGATTTTACTGTCAACGATCCCCCACATCAAAGAACCACAGGGCAAGACTGGCTTAACCACCGCTATGTAATATCAATGTAAGAGACAGACAATAAAACTCACATATAATCTGGCATCTTCTTGCATCCGTGAAAGGCCTTCTTCACCCTCTCATCCACATTGATCCCATTGGTTTGCTGTTCAAACTTTCTTTACTGGTAGCTCAACACCGTTGAGGCGCTGTAACTCGCACAGCTCATTGTTCCATCGTCTGCGGTGTTCGGCGTAGCAAATGTGCAATGAACTATAAATCGGCGGCGTAGAGAAAGCTTCTTACTGTGCTGTCGTAGGTAGCTCTAAAGCCAATGAAAAGGTTATGTGTATAGATTCTTTTCTCACGGGTCTTTTCAAAGTTCTGTGCATTCTTTATGGGTTGGCCAAAGCACATTTAATTTAATGGGGAATGCTTTCGCCAGAACATGTTCTGCAAAAAATTTATTGCAGATCTTCACCGACATGTTTAAATAGCCTAGTCGGTAAGCCATTGTCTCCAATCGCTTTGTTGTACTTTAGGCTAGCAATCGCTATTCGAACTTCGTCGTAATCGGGCAATGGGACGTTTTTTTCGTCAAAATATTATTAACTCTAATATTTTAAATAAAAAATTTGCAACAGGTGACAAATCTTAAAATTACTTTCCACCTTTGGCTTCCTTCACTCTCTTTTATATTATTCATATTAATATTTACATTAAAGAAAATAGGTGGCAACTCTTCTAAAAATATTTCATAAATTTCAATAAAACAATATTTCGCATTTTGGCATTTTATAAATCTGGCAGCCCTATTTTCCTATTTTTTACAATATATTTTTTTTTTTTGGTTAAATGTACTATTTGTCAACCTCATCATAAATCCAGCTCAATACTGAACTAGTAACATTTGTATCTATTATTAACTAGTATAAGATTAGTATTTTTTTAAAGAAAAACAGAAGATTTCCCCATCATGGGACATCTTTGTGCCAAAAGCATCATTTGCTCCTACAGAAAATCGAACCGAAAGATCGACTATTTGGAATCGCTTCCCGTACCAGTTTCGAAGGGCGTAGTTTGTAACTAGGGCACTTCACTACAGGGCATATACAAAGTAAACAATAAAATAAGTGTACGCCTAATTGGACAAAGAAATAAAGTAAATTTATAACTGACAACTGTACGGCATTTTGGGGAGTAGCTAAGTAGATAATGCTACTAAAACCCTCTGCTCTGCTCGCAAATATTTTAGCATATTTCTGTATTCTACTAACATAGGCAGATATATTTGTATGTATGTTCAGCCATGTGCACTTACCGTCGACGAGTAGACAATTTCTTCACGCAAAAAGCGATTATCACCAGCCTTGGCATCGAATAGACCCCAATCCATTTTGATGTCCCACGTGTAAGCATAACAGGATGACACAATGGCCGCTACTATCCAGCAGTAAAACCAAGGATTATCCTTCGATGATATGTAAGTAGCTGTGTGTGTGGATGCGAAATGAGACAAATAAAAACAAAAGTTGGTAAAATTATGCATAAAGAATAAACTGTTGCTGTAGACAGTGAGGAATGTTGTTAGAAAAACATTATTAACGGTCAATTAAACTAAGTTGTCCAGTTGTCAATTATGTCTTTTGTTTATACGTGAACCTAAAGAGTCGGACAAGTCAAAGCATTCAAGTGGACATGTGATAATAGTAATACATATATACATATATTTACAATAGCTTACGCAGAAACACATACAAATAACACACATACATATATTTCTAATTATATTACATTTAATGTTGAATTAATTGCCTGACAGAAATGAAAGTCATTAAGTCAATTTTTTTTTTTTGTTTCATGAGTTTTTTTAATTGAAAGATGTACGTATATACTCGTATTCATATATGACACAATATGTAACTAATTTAAAAATTGACTTAATTGTGCATATGTTCACACTGAACTTGTCAAGACAGTCGATTTAAAGCTAAAATGAATATTTTTTCGGTAATGGTCAATTGATATTTATCAATTAATTAAATGTGATAAATAATCATATTTTTACCCAAAGCCCAAAAGAACAACATAGCAAAGTTCATCTGAACCCTTTAAGGGTATACAAGGGGCTTATACGTTGAAAAAAGAAATAATCCAAAAAAAAATTATATTAAAAAGAAAATATTTTTTTTTAACTTTCTACTGTCTTTAGGTTTATTTTGCAAAAAGGTTGCCGGTTTTATTTATATTAAATAATTTTTACACATTTTTTGAATAAAGAGCCAAGCATAAAATATGGACCTCTGACTCGAGTGGTCAACAGCGCGTACTACCATGCGAAAGGTTTTGGTCCTGACCATAAAAACATTCAAAATTGTGGTAAATTAAATTTAAAGAAATAATTTTGAGGGTATCTCATAAGACTCAACCAGCTGTTTGGTTCTACTATTCTAAATATAATCTGAACGAAAGAAATTTTTATTTTCAACTCATGAAATCACCTTTTCGAAAAGTAAAAATTTCAGCGCACCACTAAATATATTATTATATATTTTTCAGAATTTGTTTTTTTTTTTTTGGTGAAGTTGGTAGCACTATTCTTAATTACTATGCCGAAAATGAGGGTGATCTCTCAACCAGTTTGCTTGGAGCTGCTGATGAAATCCGTCGACCTCAGTTTCTTCAGCGGGTTTTCTTTTAACTCCCTAATCGAGTCGAAAGGGGTTCCATGGAGTGGTAACTTGAGTGTTGGAAACAAAAATGTCACATGGGGTCTAATTCAGTAAATACGGTGGTATCGTTCATAACTACAGCTCGGTGCGATGGCCCATTAACGTCACGGAAGTTTCCGTTTGCGACGGATATTGTCGCACAAACGCTTCAATACTCTCTAATAACACTCCTTATTGACCGTCTGCCCCATTAGAATGAATTCATGATGAATCAAACCGTGAATATCTAAGAAAAAAAATTACCGAAAACTGCCTGGCCTTAATCTACGGATGAACAGGTTCCATACCTATACGCAGTATTGAAACAGAGGTGAAATACTTTTATTTAAGAGTTAATTTTTTCCTAATATATCGAAATTGTAAAATCTTCAAAACTAATTAACTAGTTTGCCTTCAAACGGACAGGTTGAAATAGCGCAATGCACTCAATTCCAGATTTTGCATGAAATTAAATTTGAGTGTGCCTATCTCTCCCTCTCTCTCTTTAATATTTCCACACAATACCTTATAGCTTTTTATCTGATTTTTAACTTATTTTTAAAGTTAAATCACATTCAAAAAAAAATAAAATTTTTAATTTTTTATTTAAAATAGGTAGAGAATAGGGTAGCACGAATATGTCGAGGCGAACGAACGTTTAATGTCAGGTAGCTATGAAGGCGACTGCGAAGAGAATAAAACCACCTTCAATTTATTGTATAATGATCTAAAGTAGGTAATGATAAGAAAAATTTAGATATATTTATTTACTCCCTAGAAAAAAATCTTTATGTACTTCTTAAAGAATGAGTTTATAGTGCAAAAGAAAAAATTACTAAAAATAATGGACAAAAATAACGAACTGAAACCGCAACAAACACAAGGCAAACAAAAACCTAACCAACATAAAATAAATACTTACAAAAATTCTCAAAGGTGAAAGGCAAAAGTCGAGCAAGCGTTGAAAAGCCTTTGATAAAAATAAATCAAGCAAAATAATATCACCCACATAATAAATATAATGTTTTTATATAAAAAATAAAAATTTATACTTTTTGTAATTCTAATACACCTGCAGTTTGTGTGGTTATTGGGAGGTTTAAAATGAATTTTCACTTCAATAAATTAGACTTATTATTTTAGAATAAAAAAATTTTGTTTATGTACCGCTCGACAACCGATTAGCACGTTCTCTAACCTCTCAGTTTAAACGCTAATCACTAATAGCTTAGCTATGGGGAAAAACCTGAAAGGTTTGCACAAAGAGGTTGGGGATTGAAACATAATGAACTAGTTCAATTCACCCTGTTTATCTGCACCAATTATGGTGGATTAAGCCTCACAAATATCCCATTTAAGCTTCTATCGACGACAGTTTAATTTGACGCTCAGTAAGACCAAAGGCTCGGTCAGAAATGGGGATCAAGTGTTAGATAGTAGGATTTTAAGCAAGGCGGCTCTTTATCTTGTGACCTCCTCTATTTAGTGATAATACGAGCTGTAGATCTAAGTCGAGAATTTACATTTGACAAAATTGATGATACCGATAACCGCCTTGAAATCAACCGCCAAAACACTTTTGCCAAAAGATTCAGTAGTAAAGTAATCTATCGCCCCACAATAACCAAACTCTACTAGTCGCTTCACATTTCCTCTCAGCTATATGATGTAGAAACGCAAACGATTTTCACATGCGATAAGTTGGCGCTTTCGAGGGAAAAGTTTTGCGAAAGACTTATGCAGCTTTCCGCATTGGCATCCGTCATTGCCGGCCGCAGACTATGGAACGATGATTTGTGCGCTATATACAGCGCCACTGTCATAGTTATTCGAACGAAGAAGAGGCAGGGGATGCGTTGACTAGGTCACATGGTCTGGCCGAGCGACGGCACTCAATGTTTTCAATGCAATAATCGCCAATGGAAGAAGATAAAAAAGATTATCTCTCCTCCGTCGTTAAGATCCGCTTGAGAAGCACTTGGCTTCACTTGGTGTATCCAATTGGCGGAAAGAAACGTCGGGCTTGCATTTATTGTGTTTTGTCATATTAGCGATGCCATAACGAATGCTTAGCATGGCCAAGAAGTGTGAGCCTATAGCCGAATGAAAAAAGTTCAGATTTAAAAGCATGGATAGCCTTTTCTACTACTTTCGTGGCCACAGTAAAAAAGAGCTTGTTTGGGAGCGATGAAACAACTCGAGGTGGAAGTGACGCAATAATTTGGACATTTGATAGGCGTTGAATAGTTTGGCCATATATAAAGTAATTTCTACACATTTGTATGAAGATCATACCATACAAAGATTGTGGAAAACTATTTCACTGAAAAAAAAAATCAGGTATACGAAATCATGTTTAACAGTAACTCATTTTCACTCATTTTTTTTTTAATTAAATTAGAAAATATCAAAACTTAAATAATAGTTTTAGATACTTGTGATTATATTATCCGATATTTCCACATTGTATCAGGCAAGTAAGATATTAATGAAATTGTTAATTTGTTCGAAATGTTCAGAAATATTTCTGCTAATAAAAGATTTTGTTTATTATTTGATTTTACAATATATTGAGATTTAGTTAATCACATCTAGTTTTTACAAGTTTTACTAGACTTATGATATAGTTGGCTGCTAAAAATTTAAATTTTCATATTCAATTGATAATTAGCAACCCAAGCATAGAGAAAATGTTGCTGGAAATTGGATTTAATCAAATGCCTGTTTGTTTATTATTAATTCAAAACATTTGAATATTAAAGAAAGGGTACCAGATTCACTTACTTCACATTATTCGTCTATCATGGATTTTACAATATTACCCTCTTGCAGCCACCAAAAGCTGCCTTAGAAATGTGTATTTATGTATGATAGTAAATTATGTACTCATGTACATGTGTATGTAAAATCAAAATTAAAACCCTTCCCTTCTTTAATTTATTTGTTTTATATTTGGTTTTTTAATAGAAAACCTTTGCATTCATTAGATATGCGCAGAGGGATATTTTGCCTGGCATTTTTTCTACCTTCCTTTTATTCTTTATATATTTATTTTAGATAAATATGCGCAGTGCTTATGAAAGTGTAACTAATTTACTAATGTACATACATACATAATGTGAAGCAGAAAGAAAAAATATACAATATTTAACGGTAAACAATCTCTCATAACTGAGATTTTGATTTTTTATGAAATTATATATATTTTAAATTATTTATTATTATTTTGTGTGTCTTATGTATGACTTATGTTAATTCTTGCAGAAGACAGCTTATATGTATACATTTCTTTTAAAATAATATACCGAGTACGACGGATGTATAATATTTGTTTGCCAACACATCCTTTTTTCTCAGCTTTTTCTGCTCATTGCTTTCTATTAATTGCTTGGCTTAGTCAGATTGATAAAAAAAATGATTTTTTTTTGTATTTTCTTAACGATGAAGTTTCTAAAAACTTTCTCTGAAAGTTTGAAGCCAACCAATGATGTTTTTCGATTTATTCTGCTCTGTACTCTCGCGGTTAATGAATCGCACGAGAAAATGGTAGAGGTAGCTGTCAACCAGTTCAACTCGAACAAAGCGTGACTGTAACTCCAGAATAGTTTAAAAATTATAATGCTTTTCTTTTTTCTTTAGTTTAAATTTGTATAAACAACAAAGGTTTGGGTTTTCACAAAAAAATATTAAGAAAAATTATGGTACGCCTCACATTGAAAATACACGAAGATCTCAAGTATTCCACTAGAGTTCGCTAGTTCATAGAGTTAGGTAAAGTTTGAAGGCACTGGAATGTCTGAGGTAGTCGCCAGTGCGGTGCAGTTTGTCCACCTTTTCGTTACCTTTTACAAACGTATTACCCGGAGCTAACTGGGTTCTACCATGATAATCGCTTCTCACACTTTTGGACTTTGTGTTATAATCATTGAATTTAAAGCTACATTTTTTATTGGGGAACTCATAGCTCTTGTATTTTCGAAGCATTTGTGATGTCTGTGCCTTGCACCTGTCGGGAAAGAGTAGATGGTATCTACCCGACAGAAAGTTTTAGGGTATCGACCGCATTTTGCGTTAAGGTCGTGCTCTGTAAGCTGTCATGTTGCGCTATTGAACGCTGGACCATATTGTCTAGTACATTTAGGTGACTAGTGGTGGTGGCGGTGTAGCTTCAAGTCATTTTCATAATAATTGGTCTGATATCATAGATAACTTCCAGAGCCTTAATTTAGGTATTCCTGATAGCCCTTGCTTTACCAAGTAGACAGTCCACTTGGCCGAGTTTGTGTTTCTCTTTAAGGGACAGACCTTAAATTTTTTTCGGGCTGACGGAGAGCCCATGAATCTCAGCACCATCCGAATTCAGTAAGGAATTTTTTCTGATACTTACATAGATATTAAACTGGAGAAAGAAACTACTCAAAAAAATGTTTTAATAGAATTAAATGAAAAAATGTTTTAATAAAATTAAATTAACAATAATTATATGCTATAAAATAAACCTCTTTTGTATATTCTTTCGTTTTATCATCAAAAAAATCCCTAAATAAATTTCGCTGTCTAAGTAAAAAGTATTTCAAATCTCCATCCCTTAACAGTTCTTAAGGACAATTTTGCCTATTAATCTAAATTTACACCTTTACTTATATAACTATATATAGGGTGAATTTTTAGGAGCTGTAGGAAAGTTTTTCAAAAAAAAAAACATATAATTCAGAAAAATGCATGAAATCTTTATTTAAACCGACAGTACTGTCCATATAATTTATTGTTTAAAGATTATTTCATGCAAATGTTGTTGCGCAGTCACAGCGTCAAATGGTCCATCCGCTTAGTCCAATTTTGGCATACTCTTTCCAACATTTCGGCCAGTATCTCACGGATAAAAGCTTTAACGTTATCCTCCAATGCGTCAATTAAAGCAGGCTTGTCTGTATAGATATTGGATTTAATAAGCCCCCACAAAAAATAGTCTAAAGGCGTTAAATTGCTCGAACGTAAAATAAAATGTTCACCGGATTCGCTCCTCAATAAGTCCATTATTACGCGTGCTGTGTGGCATGTAGCATAAGCTTGATGAAACTCCACGTCATGCAAGTCAAGCTCTTGAATTTTGGGCAAAAAAAAAGTTTGTTATCATCTCACCGTAGCGCTCACCATTCACAGTTATGTTACGTTTCGCATCATATTTGAAGCAGTATGGTCCAAAGATACCACTAACCCATAAACCACACCGAACTGTGACTTTTTCTGGTTGCATTGCTTCTAGCTGATCTTCAATCAAAAATCGACTTTTCTGCTTATTTACGCATCCATTAAGCCAAAAATGAGCATCGAAGTCCGGGCGGAAGAAGCGAGAGATGAACTTTCTTAACAGAGCCACACATTTTGATAAAAAAAATAGAATAATTTGCAAGCGTTGTTCGTTTGTAAGACGATTCATGGTTAAATTATAGACTAAACTAAAGATGTTTGACAGTGATACAAAACACGTAATGTGCGTCAGCTGTTTAAACCAGTGTTGCCAAAAAGATAATGACTAAAAAATCACCCTTTATACATTCCCATTAAAGTAATTAATGCACACACCCCTTCGTCAAAGTAACGCATTCAAACAACTCTTTCCAAATTCCTAAGTGGTTATAACTAAGCAACCAACAGAAGCTGCAACTCACCTGCGGTTGTTTGGAACTTGTAAGCGAATATGACCACGAAAAAGGACGTCGCGTACTTAGCGGCATTGACCAAATGCGGAAAAGCTTCGCGAGTGTCACGATAACGACGAATGCATTGCGCAAAACGCCAATAAGCCGGTAAAATGGCTACAACAGGACGTATCATAGAGATATCCTGCACGCAAGGGCTGACACCTGTTGGAAATTGAAGCACAAAGTAAAAAAAAGTATTAAAGGAAATTTACGAGGTAAAAAATATTAATATATTTAAATAATATTAAAGCAACTCACCATAGTCTGTCTTGTGCCAAGTGGGATTCTCACCAAAGAAGCAAATAATGAAAGGTATATCAACAAAAGCCGGCACTATGCTATTAAGTTGATCGGCAAGCCAAAAATCGGCGAAGGTCACGAAGAAGAATGGCGCCATTACAACACGACTCAACACACGCACCGCCCAATAGCGCGCCTCGTGGTGAAATGTCTTCGTGGGATTGAGCAGAAATGCAATCATTAGTGTGTAAAGAAATATGGGCGCTGAATATTGCGGTATGCCAAGTGGATCACAGTAAATGTAACAGAGTACGCATATCGCCCAAATCACGCCAAATACCGAAGCAATTTCCATAATATTCTGCTCGGAGAGATGATTGCGTGGATCTAACTCGAAGATAAGCACATGATTAACACCGGATGAACGCCAACCATAAACGTTGACGCCCCACAAAAATAGGAACTCAATAATGAGAAAAGGACCACGAAACATACGCAAGCCCACACGCCAATCATCGCCGAAGCCATGAAATATTGCCGACAATATAACTGTGAGAAAGAGCACCACAAATGCGCCTGAGAAAAGTCCCACTTTGAAGGTTGTCCAAGGACTCTGCTGTTCACCCAACGGCGGTACGCGTAAACGTTTCATTGCTTTTTGCCGATCGCCGCCTTCAATATCATTGGTGAAAGCGCGCTCCGTTTCCTGTATCAGTCGATCAATATCTTTATTGACATAGAAATGTGCCGCCTCGACATATTCCTCACGCCACTTGACACCATCGGACACATTTAAAAGCTTGTCGTGCTTCTTGAGTATCTTACGAAAGCCGGTGAAATTCAAATTCTGATAATTTTGTAGTAATATGAGACCCAAATAAAATTCACTAAATGCTAGTTTGAGATCTTGTATTTTACGTGCTGGCACATTCTTCTTGCCCAATGGTGTTTTAGATTTCCAAGCAGGCTGCTTTTTCACTGCGCCCATCTCCAGCGTTTCGCTCAGCTCACTACGAAGATTGCCATACTTGCGTGTAGCCTCGGCCATCTTTTCGGAGTAAAATGTATTTATTTTGGCCAGCTCTTTGTCACAGTAATGGAAGAATTGCTCATCGAATTTAGCGAAGTAACGGGATAGTACCTCCGGATCGACAAGCTCAGCAGAAGGCGCCTGCTCTACGGCTGCATATAGCATCGCCTTCATTTCCTGATGAGGAGTGTAAATAAAAATCTGAAGTTAATTTGATTGAAGAAGTAATGAACCTAGTAAACAATGCACAAATTTTACGCATGACTGTAATTTTTTTAAGTGGCCTTTGCAACCCGAAACCAAACTTTATTTGTCATCTATATGCATGTTATGTACATTTGATGTACACCCATATACATATTATATTTTGCATAACTATGTTTGTATCACAAAAAAAAAGTCTTCTCAAACTTAAAAGCTCTCTCTGTTTACTTTCTTTTTGTTTACACCAAATCTTTCTAAACAGTTTATTTTAATTTTGTTTACATCATACACTTCTAAACACTTATCAACAAGTGCCTGTTTGTGGTCATGCGCAATTTATCAAACGAAAATTCCCGCCATTTAGAAAGCTCCTCCCTCTGACAGCGACCCACTGAGCTTTAATGACGTCACCCACCCAACTGACAGCATTGATTGACCACCCGCAGCAGCAGTATCTACAAGATTTTCACTTTTCACAAGCCATCTATGGAAAACGCAAATAAAACGTGCCGTGAAATAAATTCATACCTCATAGTTTATGTACTGTTTTCTCCATTCCGGTGTTATATGTGCGGTCAAGTGCTCGGCAAATTTCATTTTAACAAACGATATGAATTAATTCACTATAAATTCACTAAATATTTGATCAGCAACAAATTCACAAGCATCATTTTCACAGTCACAATTAATACACACAAAAGAATTGAAGAAAGTGAATGTTGTGCGAAACATATGGCATGGAGACGAGCTTTTGTGCTTTACATAGCAAAGTTGCTTAGCTTTTTGATGCCTTGAAGCTTTTTTGAATATATTTGAACAATAGATTGATGTCTATTTTCAAAGAAAAAAGGTAGAGATAAATTAAATAAAACAAACTAAACAAAGAAATAAATAAAAATTAAAATTAAAAATTAATATAAAAAAATGTAGAGATAAGTAAAATATAGTAATAAAACAAACTTGAGTCAAACAAAAAAAATTACTTTAAATAAAATAACAGAAAAAGAATAATATAAAATCAATTAAATTAAAACTTTAGAAATGAAATTAAATGAAATAAATTAAAATAAATCGCTAAACCAACACCAAATAGAGTACAACTAAATAAAATTAAATAAAGAAACTAAATAAAATAACAAAAAATAGTACTATTTCTAAAATTTGTATAAAAAAGTATTGAAATTTAATAAATAAAATTATTCCAGTTAACATAAATCGAAATAACAAAATAAAAATAATAAAATATTTAAAATAAAATTATATTAAGTCAAATAAAACATATAAGTGAAATAAGGTAAAAATACATTATTAAAAAATTTGGAAAATAAATTTGAAAAATATTGAAAAATTTTAATTAAACTAATGAAATATCAAAAACAAATTAAATAAAAGTTAATAAAATGAAAAAAATATTAATAAACTAAAATTAAACAAGCTATAATAAATTTAGAAAATTAGAAAATTATAATCGAATAATGCAACAAAAAATTAAATTTTGTTTTATTTTATTTCTATTTTTAAATGAATAAAATAAATATTTAAACTTAGATAAAATTAAATAATATAGTTAAAATATGGACCAAAATAGAAATAAGATAAAACAAAATCTGCAAAACGATAAAATTAATACAGATTCAAAGTGGTAATGAATGAAATAAAAAAATTCAATAAAAATTTTAATTAATTATAAACAAATAAAAATAAAAAATTGAAACAAAATAAAATTCAATAATATATTTTATATAAAATAAAATGCAATCAGATTATAAAATTTAAATGACATTAAATTGATAAAAAATAACAACAAATTAAAGACAATAAGAAATAAATTATAGAAACTGAAACAAGAAACTAAAAATTAAATTAAAATAACTTGTTTAAAATAAAATTTAATTATTTTAAATCATATAAGATAATTGAAGTTAAATTAAAGTAAATAGAATAAAATATTACAAATAATATGAATTAAAATAATGATAAGTTATAAAGGATATAGTAAAAATATGCATATAGTTTTATATCGTAAATAAATATTTAATTTTTTTATTTATATTTATTATATTTTTTTCCATTATATTTAAATTTTTTAATGAATTGATTTTATTAGATTTTGAATGAATTTAAAAAAAAGAAAATAGAATGTTTAAAACAAAATAAACTGACAAAATATTTAATTTAGTTTTAATAAATTTAAGAAATTATAAAATTAGTTAAAATAAAACAAAATAAACATTAAAAAAATATTTATAATATTAAAAAAAGCAAAAAAATATTTACAACAAAATATGAATTAATAAATAACAACGAAACCAATATACATAAAGTAAAACAAACTAAAATAGTTAATAAGGTAAAAGAAATCAGATAACAAATTTAAATAAGATACAATAAAAAAGTAATTAAAATAAAAAACAAAACAAAAAAATTAAAATAAAACAAGATCTAAATCAGTTCAATATGATTTAATTATTTAAAAGAATTTACACCGAATTAAATGTATTTTATTCATTTAAATAAAGAAACAAACCATAAAAAAATTTTAAAACAAATTAAATTAGTTTTACTTAAATTAAATTTAATTAGGGCAAGTTAAATGAACAATAAAATAAGGTAAATAATAAATAAAAAAGGGAAAATAAAATTTTAATTTATTCAAAATAAATTATAGTAAATTAAAAGCTTTTTATTTAATTATACAAAAAAAAATTAACATAAACTAATTTTAAAACATATTAAAATTAATTTTATTTATTTAAGGTAAATAAAGTAAATTAATAAAACCAATTGTTTTAAATTAAAATAAAACAAAATTAAAACTTATAGCAAAAAACTTTTTAGTATGGCCGCAAAAGAAAATTAAAATTTAATATTATTATATTAAAATAAATTCAATCAATATAAATTTAAAATAAATCTAGTTAAAAAAAAAAATTTAAACACAATTAAATTCTAAAATAAATGAAATCAAAGTAAATTGAAAAAACTTTCATTTAATTACTTAGAATGAAAGCATTAAATTAATAATTGAAATAAAAAAAAATTCAAAATTGTTAAAATTAAAGTAAGTTCAATTCAGTTAATTAAAATAAAGTAAAATTAAAATAAATTACATTATTGCTTTTGCTTTTTAAGAAATTTTCATACCACAATAAAAGTGATTATAAGAATGGTCGCGCGTTCTCCGCCGGCATTCGTTATGTATGGTCACCATTATAAATATAAATAGAAATATTGACCTTTAATAATATCGATTAACTGTTAGATAGTCTACACTACCCTTTGCCTAGTACTACTATTAATCCGTGCCCCACTGAATAGAGTATGTATGCAACTTTATTACGCGCAGTGTGTTCGATGCGTTGACCTTGACAGCAAAAAAAATCATCATTTATTATCAGTTATTTATGGTGGTATTCATTTGAATAGCCGCCGCAGCAACAAAGCAGATAATAATATTTATGCGTTGCTCAGTTGTTCAGTTGTAGTTACCATTCGATTAACATCATCATTCCGTTCCGAGTCACTCAATATGTAAATAGAGCTCAATCATTTGACGCTTTGATTGCATGTCATTATAGATGTAAACAAAGCAGACAGTGGGCAGACAGATGACATAGTAGTACATATACGAGATTGAACCTTCGCAACGAGCTCCACGCAAACATAAAAGCACACCTGATGATTATTATTATTTAACTTGAATGCGCTTTTGTATTTATTTCTTTGTATTTTATTTTATTTTATTTTGAGCAAAGCAGAGCGAACAAGCACGCGGCGATGAGCAAGCAATAATAATATGTGCGAACCACCACAACACTCAACGCATTCACAACTGCAGTGGGCACACACTGGGCGCACAGCGCCAACAACTAGCTGTTGTTCTCCACAATGGACAGCAGGCCAATTATGGATTACTCGTAGTAGAAAAAGTGAATGCTTGTGCAAACTTAGTTAAAGCTAAATGCAAACAACTTTTTACGAGAATGCTCATCCACAGCGCAACAAAGCGTGTGCGCTAAACGAGGTGGGGCGAGGCTAGCCGAAGCAATATATGCGCGACGTTGGCATCGAAGGCGAACAAGCGCGTTGAGGAACCGAAACGATCGTACGCCTTCAACCGGCAGAACTAGTAGTCTCAGCGTGTGGAGTGGAATTTTTCTGTGCTCATTCTCAATTGAAAACGGCATACATATTTATATATGTATGTACATACAATACATATTGTATGTTTGTAGTCGGTTTATTGGCGCTCAATGCTAGGAAGCGGGTCGCTGTACCGATTCTAATTGAAAATTCAAAACATGTTTTACTCATAATGCCGTTTGATCTATTTTCGAAGCGTTGTCTATAGGTAGCTAGCAGCATATGTATATATGTGTGTATGTATGTATATATGCTTGCAATACATTGTTTGTAGGTCGTCGATCGATGTGCATTGTTTTAACATTTTTCAACATATTTTTAGTATTTTTTCTTTTACATTTGTTTCTTGTTTCTCATAAGCGCTGCATTTTAAAGTTTGTCTCTACGGTTTTTTCGACATTTTTTTTTTTGCGCTTGCTTTATTTATTGTATGTTGTTATTGGCGCGTCTGCAAATGTAGGCGACCTCGCCGTCGGATTTAATTTAAGCTTTGACTTCTGTTGCTATTCTACAGCGATATTTGCTTTTATATGCACTCATTTAGATTCTTCATTGAGTCTATCATCCATTCAGCGTTGGATTTAATCAAAAACTAATTTGTCAGTTCGATTCTTGTTGGTGAGCTGTGCGATCGTGCGTGCACAGAGTGCAGTGCAGTTGGGAGTGTTGTTTAGTCAAATTACTTTTTCATTAAACGAATTAGTGTTAAAGAAAAACATATAAACAAAATAACATAGTATATGTGTGCGTATAGAAAATTATTACTTTTTTTTTTGAATTTTTTCAATAGATTAGATTTTCAACTAACGCCGGCAATTGATAAGCGCACACTTTCCGCCGCCGCCAGCCACCCATTCGCACGCCCATCGCAACGACAAACCTTTGAGTGAGTTTTCGGTTTTATGAATTTATTTTCGCTGTTCAAATATACAAATTTGTTATAATGCAGTAAAAAGTATTCATATAATTACAATAAATGGAATTGAGAATACAATTGAGTTGTTGTAGCGATTATTGTGTGTTGACATACAGCGTGCTTGGCGACCCAGTACAATTTTGTCACTGGAACGGTACGGATACGAGTAACGGAAGTGCAGTGCAGTGAAATTTTTATTGTATGATAAATAATTTTTTTTTTTATATTCTCACAAGTCGCTGAAATTGTTCGCTTAAGTTGAAGTGCTCTTTGTGATTTGTAATTAATAAAATTTTTTTTTAATTTACTTCACAATAATTAGTGCAAATATAAATAAATCATTAGAAAAATGCCTGCCAAAGTGCAAACACCCACTCAGACGCAAATTGCTGAACTACGAAAATTATTCAATGAGAAATATGAACAAAGTCCACCCAAAGGTAAGTTTTTAATAATGACATGCAATGCACTTAAGACGGACATTTTTGATTATTTGCTTGCTTTTCAAGCTCCTCCTTTTTTGACATATTTTTAAACATACTGGGTGCTGCATCTATTATGTCGGCATGTAAACATTGTTATAGCGTCGATTTCAGCACGAATGTTTGCCTTGAGCTCGTCAATAGTTTGAGGCTGGTTGGCGTAAACCTTGCTTTTCAGATAACCCCACTAAAATAACTCCGGAGCGGGTTAAATCAGGTGATCTGTCAGTTGGTGGCTTTTTGCGGCGATATTTGTTCCGATATGCGCGTTGAACGACTGTTTTCGATGTAAAGTGTCACTATTTCAGCGCTTTGTTTCGGTGTGAAGCGATCCATGGCAAAAATTGTACTGAATCGACGTTTTCAAAACATATCTGACGCAATCGCTTGGTTGGAAAATGTGAAAGTTATTCAATGTTTACATACATAAAAATGGAGCATCCTGTATATATGTACTTTCTTGATGCCCCTAAAATTATGAAGAATAAAGTGACTCAAGTCTGCTAATTCAATAAAATATAATTTATAATGAAATAAAATAAAAGAGACCATAATAATTTAGCTTAAATAGAACAAAACTATTTTCATAACTTATTTGATGATATAAAAATGTTCATTTATTAATAACTCTTAACTATTAGCATAAAATATAATAAAAAACTTATCAAAAAATTCTATCAGCAGTTTGGTGGTGATTGATAACAAACAATATATAATTGAATGGAATTATTTGAAGGAATTATAAACTGCATTTTTTTCCAAATCAAACACACATACGTAAATTGCACGAAAGCAAAAAAGGAATTAGAAATGAAAAAAAAGAGAATTGGAAAAATTTCGATCGGTTCTGCATCACTCATCATATGTTTTGCAATGTAATATTAACAAATTATTAATAAATGCATAAATACATACATATGTACATACATGGTTATTGAACTAAAATACCGCGTTGCTATTGCAACAGGTTTTTAAACAAACAGGTTTTAAACATTTTGCACCGGACTAAAGTGGCCGGATGCAAGTTTTCATATACATTTACCGGTTGAAATCAAATAAATAAACATGTAAAGTTCAAGTGCATTCATTTACAATCATATACATATATACAATATAAATGTACACTTCGTATATAAAGCAATTCAACTATTTACTGGTGGTTATTAACTACAATATACTTGAAAACGAAAATTGAATTTAATTTAGGTACTAGGAAAAAATTTTCAATTTCTGCTGGTTGTATGTACGTGTATACCAATAATATGGCAGTATATTTCAGGGGTAGGGCGCATTCAAGGTGTAGCAAGGTGATTAGAAATAAGAAGCTGTCAGTTTTGAAAACAAGCCTTGATTTTCTAAATCTTTAAATATCATTTTATTTTAGCTTATATTTTTTTATTTTATATTCAATTTATTTTATTTAAGTTTATATTATTTTATTTCATTTTGTTTTATTTTATTTTATTTTATTTTTTTTTACTTTTTTTAGTTTAATTTTATCATATTTAATTTTTTTAATTTACATTTTTTTTATAGTATCATATGTTATTTTTTTTTTTGTTACTTAAACTTACTTTATATCTTTTTATTTTTTTCATTCGATTTTATTTAAATTAAAATAATTTTTTCTTATTTTTCTTATTTTATTTTACTTAATTTTATATATTTTCCTTTATTTTGATATCATTTTTTGTATTCTATTTTATTTATTTTAATAATTAATAATTTTTAATTTTATTTTGTTAATATCTATTCTATTTTATTTGATTTGATTTTAATATATATAATTTTATTATAATTATTTTCTGTTATACATTATTATTTTCTTTTTTCCTTTATTTTATTTTCTTTCATTTAATTTTATTTATTTTATTCTATTTTTTTATTTAATTTAATTTTATTTTATTTTGCATTATTTCATTTTATTTAATTTTGTTTAATTTTTTTTTTATTTCATGTTATTTTATTTTATTTTACTTTACTTTTTTAATATTATTTTATTATTATATATTTTTTATTTGTTCCTCTTTTTTATTAGAAAAAAAGGTGATATTTTATTTAATGTTGGTTGAACTTAGTTTATTTTTTTCAATTTTTTTCGTTTACTTTTTTTTCATTTAAACTAATTTTGTTTTATTGTTATATATTTTTTTCCTTTTATATTACGTTGTTTTATTTTCTTTAATATAATTTTATTTATTTTATTCTAATCAATTTTTTTATTTTTTTTTTAAATTATTTTAGTTTTTTTTCATTCATTTTATTTTATTTTATTTTATTTCATTTTGTTTTATGTTACTTAAACTTATTTTATATTACTATAGTTTTTTTCGTTTATGTTCTTTTATTTAAGTTAATTTTATTTTATTGTTATATATTTTCTTTTCTTTTATTTTTATTTTTTTTTATTTAACATTATTTTATTTTTTCTTAATTTTATTTTATTTCATTTTACTGTGTTTTATTTCAGTCCCTTGAAGCGCCTTAAATTATTTACCCTTGCTATTCGATACTTCATTTAAAAGCATTTTTTAATTTAATTTGTGAGCTTTCAGTCATATTCTGAATTAGGGAAGCACTTTGCAGTTAAATGTTATTAAAACAGCTGTGTTTATAGTTGTTTTTCGCTAATTTGATTTGTATGTATTGTAAGTACATTAGGATGTCCCTTATGTACCAAGTTGGCATATTTTCACATGTTTTTTTTTTTTTTTTGTTAGGCTCATTATTGGTACTATATCAATATTCGGAAGGCTTGTTCCAATTAAATTTAAAAAAATAATTTAATGAATTCTTCGGTACATGGAAACGCACACCACAAATGAGACGAGGAGCTTGCCAAAAATTGCCAAAATCAAAATCAAATAAAATATTTTTTTTTTGCAAAACTAACTAATAATTGAAAATTTATTTTTAAAATGAACCTTTTTACAAAGAAACTGTGGCAGGACGCATAAAATTTATAGTTAAATCTATCAAAAATTCATTGATTTCAGAAAATATACTACAGAAAACAGGAAAGTTAGGCGCGTTTGTTATATTTCATACGAAAAACTTTACCTACGTACATATGTACTTATACGCATATAAATATATTTAGCACTACTTAAGCACTAAAACGATTTCGGCCTTGCTCCTTGGCGGCCTTAAAAATATGTAGTTTTTTTTATTTATTAACAAATATTGAATTTAGATATTGCAAGTGCTTTGCTAATTTAACTACATAATATGTACATAAATATTGAGTACATAATTACTAGTGTTATTCGGCACGGCCCTAATATGCATAGCAGTACACAGCCGCTTTGTATTGTATGTATATATTATTGTATGTCCCCTCAAATTAGCAAACACTCACAGAAGCACAAAAGTCAAGTACGCTCTTCATTTATGGGCAAGTCTCGCCTGACCATCTAAGCTTTTTGTGTGTGATCTCTAACACTCTACCTTGATGTTGACGATAAGTTCCACTAAACATTTTTGCTTAAATATATATATATTTATTTGTTCCTATTCACGGTTGTGTACACATTAGTGGTGTATAAATTGAGTTATTGGGAGAGTTACAGCTCACCAAAGGTTTGCAAACTTTGTTTTTTAACGCAATTACATACATATATGTATACAAAATGTCAAAAAAAAACAGATAAGATTAGCAGGTGGTTAGTCATGAAATTCACTTTATTGCTACGATTTGTTGAACTTTGAATTATTATCAAAAAGCGCTGATTTCAGTATAGGAAAATTGTGAACTATTATTTTGCTTTTGAGTGCATCGTCCATTGAACATGACGATATGTGACAGACTTGGCCTTACAACTCTGAATTTAAATATTTTTATAAAAAAAATTAAGGATGAGTTGATCAAAATGTGATAATACAAAGTCCATACTGGTAAGAGGTATTATGCCTTTTGTGAATATACTTGAACTAAATTGAATTAAACTTCCGACCCTAGACATTCTTTCGTACATTTATGCGGACCTACCCAATATAAAAAAATATTTTCAAAATAGTACTCTTTTGACAAAATTTATGTATGAACATAGAGAAAAATATCTGCCGCCGAAAGATTTTTATGAAAAATACATTCGGAAGCCTTGACGTTCCTTGCCGAGGGGCGACGGCTATTAATACATATTAATAATATTTGTCGCTCTGTAATCGACGAAGCGATTTTCTACCGAACTCCACCTCCAATTTGTAGTGTGTGTCTTGAATTTTTGCGAACAAATGGAGGAGTCTACAGTTTACCCCAAGCCGCCTCCAAATGCGCATTGTATTTTATTAAGATCCAACCTTTATTGCATGTCAGAAATCCTCTTGGAGGGCAAGACATTCCATAATATTTTTTGTTGGTCGAACCAGAACCCGAACCCGAACCTTGTGCTTGCAAATGATATTACAGACTGGTAACCAGAAATAGATTATTTGAAAAGTCCCCTTAAACGGATTGTTTTCGTTAGTTGCCATAACTGTTGTCTATAGTGACGTTGAGCTTAAACGCGATCTATGTTAAAAACATTTCGAATTCGGTTAGCGATGGTAACAATGGTTAATAGTATCGAACAAACGATTTACCTCAAATTTTCAATGGGTCAGAAAGCTTATGAGAAATCGAATGCGATCGAGATGGAGTAGAAGGTTTGAAGGTCTGGTCAGCCATTAACATCTTCAATTGGTGTTAACATCGGTAAAGTGAAGGAAATGTTAAGTGAAAATCAGCTTGAAATTTTTATAGGGAAAGCTGCTGAGCTTTCTATGTTGAAGAAATCGTTTTGTGCTATATTTAACGAATTTTTGAGAATAAAAAACGATTCCCCTCGACTAGCTGCGAAAGACTTAAAGTTTCTACAAAACTTAACCACCTAAAGATCTCTGCCATGCATGCCAGAACTAGTCAGTTAAGACAGCAATTTAGCTCATTGTAGCTGGTGCAAGGAAGCTACGGTAACTGCTTTCTATGATTAACGTGATGTTGACCACAGGGAAATCTCGCCAGATGGTCAGACGGTAAATAACGAGTATTACCTGAGCGTTTGTCAAAAAGAGCCAGGTTTGTGGAAATAAATTTTCTGGATTTTGTACCACGATTAGGCACCGTCGCACAAGGCTATAATTGGGCACGAACAGAAACAGATTCTGATAATTGAATTACTCGTTTGGTTCGGGCGGTGATTTTTCAAAGCTGATCCATACTTAGTGACAGTGTAAGAGAGTATGAGAGAGTATGCAGTAATGCATAGATCCTAAGATATGTATATGTACATATATATAGCCAAAACTCAACATTCTATCCTACGCCCGTCTAAAGTGGTTTTACAAAAATTTGAACTAAATTCTGTTCGTAAGCTTAGGTACCCAATTTTTACCAATTTTTGCGCGCGGTGATGGATGGACACATTCGGGTCTCCTTCGACAAAGTAACAGTATCCACTGGACTAAGCATTACTTAGTCGGCTGAGCGATTATGTTGACCGAATTAAGACGCAGCGCACGATGTGCAGCTTGAACCGTACCATTCTTTTGGTAACAAACTTTCATACTTTGTCCCAGAGTAAGTTCGTTCACTATAAAATACCAAACCGGATATAAACCAGGTAACAGTTATTAAAAAAAAAGATCAAGTCCGAAAAAAGTATTAACACGCTTGAGTTGAGTTGAGTTGATCAAGCTGCTGTTGCCAGCACATTTAGGCCAATAGGTCCATTGTAATGCCGCTGAGGCTCCGGCCTTCACCTTCTGCGATGATCGAACCATTTTGTGTGCCTTATGAAGGCAACGAGATTTCGCTGAGGCTATCTCACCCTGATATCCTTGCTGCCTGAACTTATAGAATAAAATGACTTTCAGGAACTGTGAAAGTCATTGGATCCTTAAAGCTTTTGATCTTTCGGAACATGTTGAAAACCTATAAAATTTAATAAAGCTAAGCATTCCCTAACCGTATCTTGCCTTGTGATCTCTGCACTGGAATCTTAGACCTCGATGATTCTTTTTCTAAAAACTTTAACCATTACTTTCACTTTCTTTTCTTTTCAGTGCCTTTCCATCATGCCGATCTCCAGCGCATACGCAACGCAGACATATGGCTAACACGTTTCCTTGAAATGTACGACTTGGATATGCAAGTTTCGCTAGATAAGCTCTGGGATACGTGTATATGGCGCCAAGAGTACGGCACAAATGAACTGAACGAAAATAATTTAGTGAAAGAATACCTCAACGATGGCGTAGTATTTGCGCGCAACAAAGATTTAGATGGAAAATCACTGCTCATATTCCGTACAAAAATACACGTGAAAGGTACAAAGAATATGGATGAAGTGATACGCGTCGTTGTCTATTGGATCGAACGTATACAGCGCGAAACGAATTTAGATCAAATGACAATCTTCTTCGATATGGCTGGCACTGGCGTATCCAGTATGGATATGGATTTTGTCAAGCGCATTATCGAGACGTTCAAACTTTACTATCCAAATGCGCTAAATTACATATTAATTTACGAAATGGCTTGGGTACTAAATGGTGAGTGTACACTTCGGGTGTCTACAGAGGTAAGAGCTGAACTAAATTATGTTCTTTCATTGCAGCTGCTTTTAAAATCATAAAAGGTTTTCTGCCAGCCAAAGCCTTGGAAATTCTCAAAATGATATCGAAAAAGGATATAAATCAGTATATTGATAAAGCTAATTGTCTTGCCAGTTGGGGTGGCAATGACCTATACGAATTTAAATTTGTGCCAGAAAAGTTACAGAGACCTACAACATTGACTGTGATAAGTAATGGATCAGTGCCAACGCCACCAGTCAGCCCAGATACGCCAACTGGCTACGAAAAGAAGGTGAGTGAGAGAATTCTGCTGTATAAAACTAATAATTTATTTTCTTATATAATGAAGTAAGACGAACTAAAAGCCAAATTTCGAAATTTTTATTTAAGTATGCTTAATTGTATGTGAATGTAAAAGTGAGACTAAACTAAAAAAAATTCTTTTGGGCTTACGAAGCAGTGCGAGAGATAATTTAACAAAGTAGTTAATAGTCTTTCAGTAAAACGAAGCATACTTTTAGGCTTTAACTTGCTGGCTTATTTCTTCACCGTTTGAGATCTAATAAGTTTTTTAGCATAAATTTAACCTCTACAGGAATAATCGAAATCGCAATAAGTTTAGGACTGTTTTACACTAAGTTGCTAGAACTAGTTTGGATTTAGTTGATACATACCAAATGCCATGGTACATTGTCGTTAATTTTTATGGGCTTTGATGTATTTTTTTCTGTTTTAAATGGCCTGGGGAGGGCTCCCATGGGGGAAATGCGAAGAGGATTGTGTTTAATTATATCTTTAAACATGTTTAATGTAATTTAATGAGAAACTAAGCTCATTTTCTCATTTTTTTTTTAATTGCCATGAAAAAGTATGCAAAAAATTTAAATTCTATACAGTGGATATATGTTGGTATCCTTATGGCAGGAAAATCGGGGTTTTTGTTCTCTTATCTATGTGAAATTTATCACAATCCTGTATCCAGCCAGAACTATGATACTTCTCCACTAACTACATTAGCTTTTCTTCACCTTAGTAAGCTTTTCGTTCGTGATTTGGCAGTTTTCCTGTGTAAGGAAGTGGACTTTTTCCAGAAAAAATATACATACATACATATTTATGGATGGTCTTAGTTAAAATTTTGGTTAATAGATGACTTTCGTTTTCTGGAATTGAACCAGAGACTTGGAACCAAGTTCGTTTTGTTTCAAACATAAATAATATTTTCTTCACGGGAAAGGGATCAACGACAGGTTAATATGATCTAGATATAGATTCTTCTTAGACATGTTCGCTTGACATATTTATTATTCGCGGCTGCAAGTTAAAAGCAATTTTTTGACGTTCTACTTGAATGTGAATAGATCGGAATGATGCGCTTGGCTCACCTCGATTCGAAATCGTACCAATATTTTAGGTGAAAGACTTTAAGCAGCGTAGGAGGAATAAGTGGTTAGATCAAAAATATAAAAAGATCTTCTCTTTGATGGTGCTTACTGATTTTTTTTTTAACATTTTTTGCAATGCCAAATAGAACAAAAATAAGATAAATTACACAAAAACACAGCCAGGTGTGGCCGGTTCTGCTATTTCTGCTGGAGAATTGATATTTTCAGAGTTGAAATACTTGAAGGAGTCAGTTAGTATGTCAAGTTTATTACGCCATTAATCCTAATCTAAATATGGGATTTTGTGGGATTAACTAATTGCTTTCAAATGAGATACCATAATTAATTCCAGAAAAACATTGATTTAATACAGTCAATATAAAATGAGTTTTTCGGAAAAACTTTTTCATTGCGGAAGATGAACATAAAGAAAAATATATTCAATCAATTTAGGCTAAGACTTTCCTAAATTACACTTAGTATTTGTAATAGGTTTTAATGTATATATATTCTAAATTTACAACATTCAACACATAATTAGCCTTAAGAAATACTACTAAATTATTTTTAAAAACCCAAAAATAAATGACGCAAAAATATCATAAATCTGCGTGGTTATGAAAGTTGTAAGAAATTAGTTTAAATTTTCCTAACGGGTATTTGTCAACATTGCCGAATGTGTACATGTTGTATGTAGTATACGCACGTGGTTCGGTCGCGCCTAAAAGCTATCAACGCAAAACCTTAGCCAAACACTATCGGATTGTGTGGCATATATTGACAATGGGCAAAAACGTTTTCCGCTGGACTACAAACATCAATTAAAGAGGAAAGGAACATTATTTTATGCGTATTCGTTTGATGGCGTGTGTGAGTGCGAGTGTTTCGCATAATTTATAGAATTTATTAAAAGGTTCGTTTTAGCGGTGCAAAATAAGGGCAAAGTATTTCGCTGGGTGTTTGTGGCTAGCCTACCTAGCCTAGTTTAATAAACGCGATTGGGTACATACATATATAAACTTGTGTAAAGGAACGTATGTACTTTAAGAAGGATGAGTCCAAGTGACCATAGTAGATAAACTCAAATTAATGTATTTATTGCCACGAGGCAATTGTCGGAAATAAACAATGAATTCTCTTTTTATTATTTGCTGATACATATTTTTATTTGACGTTGGCTTAACTATTTTTAACACGCACAGTAAATAGTTACGTTTCCTAATTGATCTTTTGACATTGAGGAAGAAAATTAGTTAGAAATTTTATTTAAGCACTGATTGGAAGTCAGAATGGATTAATATAAATAGTGTTTGTTTCTGACAGAATAAAACACGACCACGTGTTACCCCCATAGCTTTTTTTATCTGGTTAGAAATATTTTTATTAAAAAATGTTTCATTATCAGCGTAAATATTAAATTAAAGTTAAAACTGTGCGAAAGCTTACTTTCCAAGTTTGGAAATTCTTACGAACCTGTTTTTATCCTCTTCTTAATCGAAAAAACCTGTAAACCCTTAAAAATTCTTCGCTTTTCTCCCTTTAAAATTGTGTTTTCAAATCCTTTGTCCATTTCTTTACATTCCACATTCCTATTGCAATCCACATTCCTTTTGCATTCCACATTCCTATTGCATATTATATTCCTCCTGCATATCAACATCACTCGCTATATGTTTTGGACATAGCAATGTCTAGAGAACTATGCATCAGCAATATACTAGTAAAATACTAGTTGGCGCTATTATTCAACCCACCAGCTCGCCAAAATGAGTAAAAAAAACTTGCGAAAGCAAGACTTGAATTCATCGTGACTCAAAAGAAAAAAGGACGGAAAAAAACGAAGGTCGAAAAAACGTCTGGTAAAGCTCAGATGAAATTGTAGAACACAACTGTAGTGCAGAAATACAAAAATAAAACACCCCAGCTAAACTGTAAACTGGAAAATACTAATTTTGGCATAAAGTAATTCATTATTTTTGTGTGACCTTAGCGATCTGTATTTCGCGTTCTGTAAGAGCGATTGAATCACGCTGGCGTTAGAAAGCTTATATTTTGTTCTAAAAAAGTTAATGGGAAAAGTGTTGATCACTTAACTCAGTGGTGTTTGAGCGGTATGTCTAAGATGGATGACAGCAAAGAGAAATTTCGCTTTCTTCCACAATTTTTCTTCGATGAAGGCGAAAGAGGGAGTCAAGAAGCTGAAAATCTCCATATTGTTTATTGTTCCGATGCTGTAGTAATCCGTGGTACAAAATTTTGAAATGGTTGTAATATAAGGGCACTGAGCAGGCACAAACGGTCCCCAAGCCGGGATTGAGTGCCAGAAATGTTTCGTTTTGTGTTTTTACTGAGTTTGGCAAGGAAATTCACTATGAGCCACTCCTCTAAAACTCCTCCGCCAAACTTTTAAGTCAAACCTTTACTGTTGGCAATTGAACCGTTTGATGGAAGCAAACGCCCAGAAGTGCTCCAGTTTGGCAAATAGGTGAGAAATTGAATTTCAATAAGGCATCGCCAGACCACACAAAAAGATAGTGACTCGTCAGATGCTTCGAGAACTTGATTGGGAGGTTCTTATATCATCTGTTCCTGTATATGACGAATATTTTGGCTTGTGGTAATTTTTGCCAATATGGACAAGGGTTTCTATGACAGTGGCTTAATGATATTGCCTCCTAAATAGTAAGAAGTTATCGAGCACAACGGTGCATATTTCACATAAATCATCTTATTCTAAATATAGAAAATTAAGCCTTCAGTAAGAAAAAAAATTAATGGATTACTTTTTACTAGATTATTTAGATTTTACTAATATACGAGTATTACATACATACTCAACATATAGTAAAGTGATATGATTTCATCTATAACATAACAGTTAAGCTTTTCTCGGCAGGGTTTCTTTCCTCTACAACAAACACGTAAAAAAGAACCGCTACCAGAACTCTCTCACAACAATTATGTTAGCATTTAATCAGTCAACAGTTGACAAACTATAGAAAATATACAAATTGTCTTTATTAGTAAAAATATAATATTATCTTTTGCTGTACGACAGTGTTGCTTTATCAGTTGTTGTATTGTATTATTCGTATTTATTATTCTCATATTCATGCTACAATACACAATTAATTATTACTTAATATAAACTAAACAGCTGATATGTAAATAAATAAATGCAACGAAGATACGCAAAAGATAATAAATGTAATACATAAGCATGTATGTACTTGTAGGCATTTGTATATACATGTATGTTTGTATGTATTTATACGCGGCAAGATAAACGCAACGCGCTAATTTCTAATTCTCTGTATTGATATACTGAATAGGGCATTTATGCCTTTCCCAATACATTTCAGTACATGTTTCATACATATAGACATACACATATGTATGTATAATGGCTGCCCTCAATATCATTACATTTCTTCATTGATACAATTCTTTGTTTGAACTTTTCACTCTGTACGAAATTATTTATTGTTTTTTTTTATTATATCTTTTGATCGCCGTTTGTGTTGAATTACGCTAAGTTGTTGGTTTAAACTCTCTACACACTTACTTATGCAAACTCATTCACTGTAGTATGCGTAGGTATACCCAGTTGGAAATGTGTATAGTTATGAGCTTATGAGCTCAAGGAAGCTTTCTTTGGGAAAAAAACAATTTAGAGCAGCTCCCGAACAGCTGACAGGTTTTTCTTTTTGTTTTAACTAAAGTTTGTTAGCAATGAAAGGTGAAGATAAATCGAAATAGAAACAAATAAGTTGGGCTGAGTTCGTGTGGAACCGAACATTAGATACTCAGCTCAAAGATCTATAATATGGCAGGATATTTCTGAACGTACATATATCAGCCATAAGGACATTAATTACTCATTTATTTAATTATTAACAATGTATTTATTTATTTATTTATTGAATTATTTATTAAATTATTTTTTAATTACCTATTTACATATTTATTTATATATATTTTTATTTATTTTACATTTATATATGTATTTATTTCTTTATTTATTTTTTATTTATTTATAGAATTATTGAATTATTTATTTATTTAATTCTTTTTTCTTTATTGTTTATTTATTTATTTAACTATTTATTTAATTTTTTTTCTTTATTTATTTATATATTTACTTATTTAACTGTTTATTTATTTATTTACATATGTAAGTATTTTTTTTATTTATTTCTTCATTTGTTTATTACATATTTTTATTTTTATTTATTTATTTATTGAATTATTTATTTATTTCACAATTTATTTAATTATTTTTTAATTATTTATTTACATATTTATTTATTTATATATTTATTTATTTTACATTTATATATGTATTTATTTCTTTATTTATTTTTTATTTATTTATAGAATTATTGAATTATTTATTTATTTATTCATTTATTTATTTATTTATTTATATACATTTTCTTTTATTTATATATGTACTTATTCAACTGTTTATTTCTTTATTATTTTATTTTTTTATTTATCAACTTATTTACTTACTAACTTGTTTAATTATTTCTTTTTTAATAGCTTATTTAATAATTTTTATTATTTATTTATTTATTTTTTTATTTCCTCCTTTATTTATTTAGTTCTTAATTTACTTATTTATTCATTCATTTTATTTATTAATTTATTTATTTATTTATTTATTTATTTATTTATTTGTTTATTTATTTGTTTATTTATTTAAATAATTATTTATTAATTTATTTATTTATCTAATTATTTATTTATTTGCTTATATATTTATTGGTCGATTTATTTATTTATTTACTAATTTATTAATAATTTTATCAACACTAACGGCGATTTTCAACTGTGTGCTGCCCACCTATTTATTTCTCTGCTAGGTTATGGTGTTGTCAACTTCATATGTACGCACCCTGCAAGGAAAAGAGTGACTAATGTGTACAAATTCTGGTTAAATACTGGTATTTAAATGACAAAAATATACCAGTTTGACATAGGCTACAATCATACTAGTATTTTGCTGAACTAGTTTGCTAAAACTCTAGTATATGAACCAGCATTTTGCGGAAAAATTCATACCATTTTGTCGTATTGAAAAAAAAACATAAACGGGATTCATAAGTAACTATGTACCAGTATTAAATTGGTATACATGAACTGGTATTTAACTAGTATCAAGCTGATGCATAGACTGACAATTGACAGCTCGTAGAACATCGTCGTGTTGAAAATACCAGTTGCTTACATGAAAAATAAATGGAAGATGAACTAGTTGATGTCAAAATATAAACTTGGCAGTTGGATTCTAGTTGACAACTAATATTTTTCCCGGCATGGTATATATACATTCGTATGGGTGCACATACATACATATATGTAGATTTTTGTATGTATGTGGATTATATGAAAATATATGCTCAAATCTATTGAAGTGTTCAGCATTGTTGTTTTGTATTTGCTGCTGTTTCGGCATTTGGCGCTTCTTGCCTTTTGCTTTTATTGTTTCGTACTCAGAGATACATATGTATATACACACATTTATTATGCGTTTAGTTACATATTTATATACATACATATATACCTACTTTGTATCTTGTACGTAGGCTGGTATACAAACATACATACATACATCTTATATGTATGTAGTATACTCGTAGTATCTACTCAACATGTTGGCCACTGGCGACGCCACTGCCGCCACTTTGAATGTCGGTTGTCGTTTTCAGTTGTCTTTCGGTTGCCGCGCCGCTGCCATTAGCTGTTAGTCAGTTGTTTGTGTAGTTTCGTTCTTTCAATAATTTCGTATCAATTTTTTGCATTTACAATAAAATCATTCAATAATAAAAAACATTTGGAGACAATTTCCAATTCAAATAACATAACGGGTTTTGCTGATTAATTAATAATTTGGCGATTTCACTCTATACTTCGTGAGTCAGCGGCATAAAAAACGGGATCAGCAGTAATTTGCAAATGATAAAAAGTGTTTTTAGTACTAAAAGTATTTGAATAAATCGAATTATAAACAAAGTGTTCTTAAGTGAATTTATTTACAAACATATATACATACATACATACATACGTCCATATACTCACTCACTTGCGTAGAGGATTCTGAAATCAATCTACCCAATTTTCAACCAACTGTTGTGCGAATACACCAAAGAAAGCAAAGTGAATACGGAAGCAGGAACGGCAAATAGTAAATTAATATTCCAACAAGATGCCCAGGGTATGTGATCACGTCTTAACTGAAATTCTTTAGAATATCAATAAGTACGGGTATGATTTCTATTTACTGACCTTGAATATTAATGTACACAAGTACATGTATGTATGTACATATATGTATATGGATATTTAATATCCAGAAGTAGATAAATTTAAGTCTAACTTAACTAACTTGAAAGACGTTCCTCCCCATAAACTATTAAAACTTCAACCTTAAAGCCTATGAATCTCAGCGTCAATACCCCACCTTTATTATAGTCTGAAAGCCTACCAAATTATTGCCTGAATTTCTGAAAGTTCCTTAAAAAGTGCGTTGCCGGTGGAAATTTAATGCTATGATGATGTTTCATCGCGGATGACGGCCGCGGCTTACCAATCCCACTAAGGACGGGGCTAGATCAGTCTAAATCATCGAGGTCATGTAACTAGAGGTCCAGGGAGAGTGTTGTCTCGACGAGTTTGGACCAAAGGGAGGGAGAGCTCGAGCCTGTACTCCTCCATTCCCCTGGTGAATAGGGTAGCAGAGGATTTTGCTAGTTATAGCCTCAATTAAATTATGCACCACGTGGAAACATATTCACATCTAATAAGTTTAAAATATAATAAGTACACGGGCTGTCTGAATTTAAAGATATTACCTTAACTTGTTCTTAATAAACTCTCGATTGGAGGAAACGGGTTTGCCGAGGTTTCATTCAAACTGAAGACAGGTCCATTACACAGGCTCACAACTACTTTCTTTATTGGCACCTACATATGTTTGTATGTATATAAAAAATAGACTCATGTCTCATCTAGAATGTAAGCCTAAAACATCTCGACGGACTTTGTCACTCTCCTTGTCGGCAATTATGAAGCAAGTGTGAAGATATATAATATGTAATAAACGCAGCTTTAACACAAGCTCATAAATAAATGCATATACATTAGACCTACGGTAGAAAATTTCTCACATTTGTGTAAAATATCTTAAATTCCAATCATGTGGCATTGTAATTTATTTAGCTGTCAACAGCTGATGATTATTCACCACTCACTACCAAGGTGAATAATTCTTCTGCAAAATTTTATCTGCCAACATTTTATGTAGTTTTTAGGGCAATAAACTTTTCGCTTAGAATAAGAAAAGATTTGTGACAATTAATTTAAATAATTAAAATGAAAGAGAAAGCACACGACAATCAAATAATTACAAAGAATCTTAACAAAAGTAATTTAGGAGACAAGAAAGATTAAGGCAATTAGATTTGGTTACGACTGCAGTGCTGTCGGGCAATATTTGCTAAAAAATAAATTCATTGGTAATTAAAGGTAATACTACCGGTGGGTATGAATTGCATCAAAGTAACAGACATACATATGGAAAATAAATCCACATCCGACAAAATCTAAACGTGAAAAAAATATACTTATACTAACATACATATTGGCTTCGCTATTACAATCAATTGAGCGAATGCATCCCATTTACTTATTGACATACGTGCATAAATCTGTAGAGCAAAGGTAAACACCACCCATTTGCAGCAAATTAACAATTAGTTGTGAAAAAAAAGTTGATGGCTCTTCTTTTTAAATTAAAAAAAAAAATCGTTAGAAAACTCAAAATTTTTACAAAAATTTTTAAATAATATTTAATTAAAAGAAAACACCATAGAAGAAAATAATTATTTAATTGTACTACAAGAAACCCTTCAGTATAATGATTTCACTCAAACATTTAGCTTCTTCTTGTTGTGATATTACTAATATATAAAGGAGAGCTTAAAAGCAAGAGCTCCTAATCTTGTTACTCATTCTGGATCTTCGGCAATGAATATAAGGAATGGTAATAATGTTGTAAACTTTAAATTATACATTTTTTCCTCTTGCTCTATTAGGCTCGTGGGTATTGTGTAGAACTTGAAACATACTTTGCATAAACTTGTATAACAGTTTATCTCGAACTTTATGTTGAAGCGTAAAACGTATTCTTCAAAATTCGCTAATGGTTTAAAAAACTGGCCTTGGATGGAGTCATAGGTCCTAATTTTTAAAAATTTTTACAGTTTTATTTATACATATTTTTGCGAGTTTAAATATTCCTCGCAGGGACATACAAATAGATGTATGCCTTTAGCTATGCAAAAATAAAAGGCCTAGTATGCCTAAAGCAAAAATAGAAAATGTAAGTGTTCAATCGAGAGCACTCGATATACATATGTATATGAGAAGAGTTCATTGAAATTGAACTAAAACGACTATAAGCAGTAAAAAGTAAGGCATGTGTGTATATTAACTATTGCCTAAAGGAAATATAATGTGTCTACAAACATAGCCAGTTACCAAGACTTTCCACTGCATATACACTTAAGTGACATCCATTTATAAATTATCTTAAAGGACCACAGTTTGCGCTTTTTGCTACACACACGATTTTAATAGCCCGACTTTCACAGTCTTATTTCGACGTTTCTCGTGGTGGGTAATAGCGAAAAATTCAATTAATTGACCAGCAGGCGTTCTATTTGAATGAAAGAGTGAACTTCTTTGAAAAACCAAACCGATTAAAATTAATAAATTTGTTTATTGAAATCAAGTAAAACGAATACCTATTTACATATATACATATTTGTTATTTCAGGTACACTTTGCCAACAATAACCGAATGTACGCAGGTTCAGAAATGCCGGAATGTGAGCGGGTATATCAAAACCAAGATCCAGCAAGTAAGTGTAAAAGTATATTAATCGTATTTGAAGTTGTGCAAAAATAGAAAAATAAAACTGTTTACCATCAGAATATAAATTAACACTTTCTTTGTTTCAATTTATTACCAATTGGGAAGAATAGCTTATGCAAATAACTTCAAACAAAAAAAAAACAGTTACACAAAAATTGTCGAAATTGAACATAGAATTTCAAATTTTCTTATTATTTAAAATTAAAACAAAAATTTTCATTTTTTAGGTACAATGCTACGGATTTCCCCAAACGATAATGTGTACTTCAATCGGGGCGAAAATAATGAGATTGTTGTAGAGCTCACATGTATCGGAAAGCAGCCCATAACTTACAAGGTGTGCAAGCAACTATATATTGAACATCAAGACAGTCTCATTGATTTTGAATTCTCTTTACAGATTCAAACCACATCACCAGAGAAATTTCGAGTGCGACCACGTTGTGGTTATCTGGCACCGTCTGAGAAGGCGTTTGTAAATATTTTGTTGAAGCAGGACTATCATTTGGGTGAGTCACCGAAGGATAAATTTCTAGTTATGTGCATGCTAGCCCCTGTGGGTATAGAACCATCACAGCAAAGCATGAGTGAGGCATGGAAGATGAAGCCTCAAGCGAGCAGTGATATAGAACAGCACCGTTTAACTTGCAATTACAAAGGTAGCACAAGTGGCGCAAGTACCCCATGTACATGTGGCAGTCCAGATGAAGGTTTTTCTTCTACCAAAGGCACCACGACTTCAGATGTGAGTAATTTTTTTTTTTTTTTTTTTGATGGCAAACAAACTAAATTAATTTTCTACAAATTTTCTTTCTAGCTTTCTACCCAAGCCAAACTCTTAGAGAGCCAATTGAGATTTACACAAATACTTCAATGTATTACGCTCGTATTTTTACTCGGTTTATGCGTTGCAGTAGTATATCTGTTGAAAACGCAACTCAATCAATTGAATGCATGTGTTGGCGATGAAGAATGCAGCGCTTCGACTGCTGGTGGACATTGTCCGGGCAAAAATCTATAATATTTACTTTCAAAATGCAATTTGACCAAACAGCACCTGCTGGTGCACACTGCCGCTGAGAGGCTACGTAGACGAGGTCATAGTGGCAGTAGCGATCACCCAGCTGCATGCGATTGTAGTGTAGCTGATGGCGACATTGACTGCAGTGATTTTGTTGCGGGGCTTGAGGATGTCATCGATGGCGACGGTGCCATGGATTACGATGAGTCTACTTTTGATAAAGGCGGTGTCGCTGGAGGTGGTTACCTGCTTGGTCTAATCGCATTTGCACGTAAATTTGCGCGAATTATCATAACAATTTCCATGCTCTTCTGTATTATATTCCTCTCGTTTTATTGCTGCTCAGAGTCGAGGACAACAATTACTGCTTTAGCGCCACCACTCACACCTCCACAAACAACTATTGAACTACATATGAGGGCACAAGCGCAGGCACATAGAAATTGGCCAATGAATTAATGGCAATGAACGAGCTAACAATATTTTACCCCAATAATATATTACTTATATAAATGCACTAACTAAACAAATAATGCGGCAACAAAAAATATACATAGGTTTGTATATGAATATCATGAAAAATTTGTATAAATGGCGATAAATTGTAGTCATTGTGTGATTATATAAATAATACATCTGCATAATTGTGAGAAAGAGAAATAATGATAAAACACCATAAAGGGCCAATTGCATTTCAATATAAAGTGGAGCAAATCATGCACAAACAAATATTTTCAAATATTCAATATTCAAATTTGTAAAATCTTTTAGGTTATGTTATGTCTCAAGACAATAGGTTATTAATTAATAGTTTAAACTTGTGTTTAGTATAATTGTGTACATTTATAACTTCAAGTATATACGTATATGTATCAAAGGGATTTCGATTTTAAATTTATTAATTAAAAGAATCACAATATATTGACAGCTAGACTTACATTAAAGTTATGAATAAATGCCATACTTTATAACTCTTGAAATAAAACATTTTACTGAACATTAAATTTTTTAGACTTACATTAAAGTTATGAATAAATACCATACTTTATAACTCTTGAAATAAAACATTTTACTGAACATTAAATTTCTCTACAATACAATCATAAATGCCAAAATTGTATGTCAACATCTATTTAAGTACAACATTCACATATGCATGTGTAAATATTTGGCCTAGTAAACATATCACGGCCTCAAACGTATATATGTACATATGTGTATGTTCGTGTCAATGACTGTTCATCCTGCACAGATCCTCATGTCTTCAAGGGGGAAAGGAAAACGAGGCAAAGCAAAGGAGAATGAGTCGCTGCACACACATCAGGTTACTACAACGCAAAATTAGTTATTATATATATAAAGGCTATAATATTTACAATAAATGAATTTTAATACAATATTTGAGAAGGAAATTTCAAAAAAAGAAAACACTTCATTTGAAAATCTTCTATATTAAATTAATTATTACAATAGTTCAGCCAACAACAAAAGGAAAAAACTGCCACAAAATCCGTTTATTTCATTCATATTTTATTAGGACCCAAAATGAACTACATATTTTAGTTGTACAAAAAGTATTTCTTCTTCTTCATTGCGTATTATTATGTTTTATTTGCATAATTATGAAGAGAATTATTCTACAAATTGATTAAAAAACAATAATGAAGGAGCAGCATACCAGTCTGTATTTGCATGCATTAGTCAATAACTAAGTAATTTACGATCTATTTTATTAACAGTCAAAGACTCAATATTAAACAAAGAATATAAGAAACAGATTATAACTTATTTGTGTTTTATGGGTTTCAAGGGCTTATTTCTTTTTGCGTCCTCGTTTCTGCTGTGTTTCAGTCTCCTTACTTTCATCGATATTGGTATCACCATTTGACACTGTTGACGGCGTGGTAGTTATTTTTTCCTGCTCCTCGTTGGTTTCTTTTTCTTTGATAACGGGTGCTGCTGCTGCTGCTGCTGCTGGTGCTTTCTTTGTTACCGATTTTGAGGGCTGAACTTCATTTTCAACTAAGAATATGCTGTGCTGACCTCCACTGGAAACTCGTATTATACGTTTGCCTTCTGTTTGTTTGCTTATAATCTGTACGGGCTCGAGCGCGTCATCATCCGACCCTGTGCCAAGCTGGTAATTAGAACCCATACCCCAAGAAAACAGTTTTCCATCATCGCTTAACGCAAAGGATTGCGCTTCGCCACAGGATACGCAAACGATGAATTTATCTGACAAACCTTTAATTGATTGTAACTCTGTAATGTCACCATTCAAAGTACCTAATCCGAGGCGACCGTAATCACTGCGTCCAATAGAATAACATTTGCCGTCATTTTTAAGTACTAATGTGTGATGTTGTCCACCAGCAATTTGCTTTATATTCTCGAATTTCGTGTCGATTGGATTAATTATAGTTGCTAAATCTTTAGGGTAGGCCAACTGCTTGTAGTTATTCAGGCCGAATGCCCAAATTTTACCGGTTTGTGATTCTTTCAAAAATGTACAGTAATTCGTTGCCCAAATTGCCTCCACGGGTTTGCCACGTTTAATAATTACTTCGCCTGGACGAAGCAGTTCTGTTTTACCCCGACGACCTATCGCATGAGATAAAGTAAAATGAAAATAAAGCTTTCTTTTAAAAATATTAAATTATTACAACTCACTTTCACCAGTCGCAGATCGCAAGGACACACGTCCTAATTGACCTTGCTCCGCACAACCTACGGTAAATACTTTTCCGCTGCAAGTAAGTATAACTAAGTGATCAGCACCGGAAGCTATGTCACAACATATTGTATCGGGTAAAACATTGATGGGAAGTCTTTTATTTCCTTCCAAAGTAAGACCCATATTTCCATGTGAGTCACGGAATGAACCCCAAGCGAAAACGCGGCCATCCTCTAATAAGCTTGCAGAATGTGAATCACCCGTAGAGATCTTAAGTACTTTACCAGGTAGTTCAACTGTATGCGGTTCGAATTCTGAACCATCTTCGCTGCTATCACGTCCTAAAGCTCCTTCATCATTACATCCGAAAGAGTACACTGTCCCATCGCTTGTCAACACAAGATTATGCATACCGCCTGCACGTACATCCACAACATTTTCAATAGTATCTACAAGAGCCGGTCGTTTACGCTCAAATTTTGATTCATCATCGCCAAGCCCTAACTGGCCCATATCGCCTTGTCCACACACTAGTGCACGACCTACTACATGTGGTCTCTCTGGTAATGGCAGCTGGAAACCGACACGCTGTAGTTTGCGTTTTGGTGCATCAATTTCTTCATTGTTGTTATTACCGACTGGTGTGGCGGCCTTTCTGCGCATTGCGATTCGCGGCATATTTATGGTAAATTGTAATGTTTGATAGATGAAGAGTGTTTTGTGTGGTCTTGTACTCTTTGCCGATAGTGAATATAGTTAACAACTTTACTGAAATAGAGATAACACACATATATTAAAGGTTAGACACGATCATTGTACACACAGTTGATCACAAATCAGTACACACGTACATATATGTATATACAACCGGCAATTTATGATAATTTCACTGCAATGTTTTGCACCTAATATTAGCAATACATTTTAAAATCAGAAAAAATACAATTTTTGTAAGCACCTACCTTGCGTCTTATATTTTCAGCCTTTCTATCCAGAGGGTACAAATAAGAATACCTTCAACTTCTTCTGACGGGTTTACAAGACTGTAATTCGTATATTTCCAAAACAGCAAAGTTATTTCTGCACGCGCGGGAAAAACGGAAAACGGCCGGGTGTTGCAAAAAAAATTTTGCCTGCTTTTATTGCGTGTGGTTACGTTTGTCATCCATGCAAAGGAATAGGGGTTGTCAATGCCGTTTTTTTTATTAATCTATTACATTTTTAGCGCACATACTGGATTTGGTTAAACTTTCTGCTGCTGAGAACAGTAGAAAATTTGAGGAAATTTTATTTTAATTAGGTAAAGAACGAATATATGTTAATGTGAGTTATTTTACAATATTTTTATTTGAAATGTTTCTTCATATACTGTCGGTCTGAAGAAACAGTCAGGAGAAATATTTTATTCCTCATGCAACCCTGTGGTATCTGTACGACATCTTTTATTGAAATTTAACAACTTCAAGTGAAAACTTAATTCTCCTCTGACGGCGAAAATTTCAGGTTTATTTTAGAATACATTTCTACTAATTTAAAAAAAGTTTTTAATAGTATTCTTAATTGAATAAAGCTATAATTAATACCTCTACTTAAATCAATAAGGGAATAGGAGTTTTTTATTTACCTTGAATGCTAATCGCTTAGAAATTTTTGCTGTCGACCGCTGTGTGTCGCTTGTCGAGAAAAGTCACTATTTTATTGTCGCGCCATATTCCCGGCGACCTCTGTGAGGAAATCTCTTGAAAACTAAGGTAAACAAGATCGCTAGTAGAAGATGTCTGGAGCAATGGATGATGATAGCGAAGGCCAGGATTTGGAAACTATCATACACTCGATCAATAAGGAAATTGAAGAGGTAACGTTGTGCTTGACCGATGATATGAATGGTAATGAGGATGAGTCACAGGAGGAACATGCACCAGTAGAAATTAGCATAGAAGATGAAGATAAACAATACTATTTGGACGATAGAGGAAATATATATTTAACTTTAACATCATCAAAGACTGATGAAGTCCCGACAAGTTCTAAAAGAAAAACAAAGTCTGTTTCAGAAAGTACATCAAAGCGAATGGGTGAGTGCTCTATAATGTTCGTTTATGGTTCTTTATTTTTGATTTTGTAAATTATGAATTTTACAACAGCTAAAAGTAATAAAGCGCCCAAGGCCAGCACCAAATCAGAGTCCGGCGAAGAAAATTTTATGATTTATATTAATGACGACAAGATCAAATCCGAAGTTGAGCAAAGTGCCGATGATCCTGCAACTCTTGATGAGATGTATGAATTCGATGAGTTGGAAGAGGAGACTGAATCGCCAGCAAAAGGTGAAAAGATATCATTACTAAAAGTATTGCCTGTAAAAAGCAGTGAGCTGTCTGGAGCACAGATATATAAATGTGCACATTGTAATTATGAAACATGTAAGCGATACATGCTTTCGCGGCATATGAAGTCCCATTCTGATGACAGGCCTTTTGTTTGTTCTGTTTGCGATCGGGCTTTCAAGACAAATCACACTCTTCAAAACCATATTAACGTACATCTTGGAAGAAAACCACATCCCTGTTTGTCTTGTGACAGCCGCTTTACAACGCAAGGAGACTTATCACGACACGTAATGTATAAACACACTCACACCAAACGTCATAAGTGCACTGAATGTGACTATGCCACCGTTGAAATGAGTAAGTTGCGTCGTCATATGCGCGCACACACAGGTGAACGGCCATATCAATGCCCTCACTGCACTTACGCTTCGCCAGATAGTTTTAAATTAAAACGACATTTGCGCACACACACTGGTGAAAAGCCATACGAATGCGATATCTGTCAATCCCGGTTTACACAATCGAACTCACTGAAGTCGCATAAACTCATACATAGTGTGGATGACAAGCCGGTCTTTCAATGTGCATTGTGTCCAACTACTTGTAGCCGAAAATCGGATTTGCGCACTCATGTTCAAAAATTGCACTATTCCGATAAGCCACTGCCGTGCAAGAGGTGTGGAAAAGAATTACCGGATCGCTACAGCTATAAGATGCATGTGAAAACGCATGAAGGAGAACGTTGCTATAGGTACGTAAGAAAAAAAATTCTAATTAATTTCATAATTATTTTTTTTTTTTTTACTTTTTCTTTTTCGCCAATTCATTAGTTGCAATCAGTGTAACTACAAGTCGATATCTATGCGAAATCTGGAAATGCACAAACAAATTCACAGCGAAGAGAAACCGTTTGAGTGTGAGAAATGTGGTCACCGTTTCCGCCAGAAGCAGTTACTTGGTCGTCATATAAATCTTTATCATAATGAAAACTATGTACCACCACCTAAACTCCAAAAATCTCATAATTGTCCATATTGCACACGAGTATTTGCTCATAAGGGCAATTTGGTGCGACATATGCGATTGCACGATGATCAAGAGAGTGGAACACATAGTCTCAGAATTCCAAAGGTAGAAAATGAGAAATTAACTGATTCCGATGAAGAGCCTTATGCTACAGACGACGATACGATGAATGGTGAAAATTTTGAAGAATATGATGTTATAGAAGAAGTGGAAGAATTGGAAACAGATTTGGCCATAGAGGCTGATGAGCCAACGACTAGTCAATCGCCCATACAGAATAATAGCAAAACGTTACATATTGAAATGGCAAGAGAAAATAAAAGAAACACTAAGCATGTCAAAATAGAAGAAGAATTCATAAGTGATCTAGATGACGACGAATCCGGTGTTCCTGGGTATATGGTAGTTAAAGTAGATGATGACGGTGATTGTGTTATTTTAACAAATGTTGAGAATGGAAAGACTAATGGTACGTAACGAAACAAATCATTACAACTTATTAATATATAATGGTTTTATTAATTTTCTATAGAAACAACAGCTGTTGAGGAAACCAGTTTGAACGTTGAAAATAATTTTGGGTTTAGTGTAAGTAAATAAGTAAACACTACTATTTTATATCGTAATAATGTTGCATTTTTTCCTATTATCATTTTAGTTGGAAGAATGTAATGATGATGACATGGAGGAGACAGTATTCCTCAATATTGTGGAGGAGAATTGATTTTCATTAAGATTTTAATTAAATTTCCAATTGCTCTAAAAAATCTATATTATATGGTCAAGTAAAAAGTAATCTATTATTTCAGCAAGACATGATTCAAGTGGTCTGTATGACGCATTCTATAATATCGATTGGATTACGGTAAATGGCGTTCGGCTGATAAAGATGATTGTCCCAATTTTTTGTCCATAGCTAACTAACTATTATAAATAAAGCCTTCTATTGAATGCAAAAATAATAGACTACTTATTACTAGACCAATATATACGTGCATATATATTGTATACATTATATATTTATTGCATTAAATTAAGTGCTGAAGAAAATATGGGCATCTTGGCACATATTGACTACTCCAAAATACCTAAATATGTAACCTGGTCTAATTCGTATACATATGAACATAATGAATGTCTGAATTCAATGTATGTACGTAATGCAGTAGAAAATACATAGCTAAGAATTAATAAATGTACAACTTTTACATTTGCCTCAGTTTCCTTTCGTGAATTGGTAGATAAGCAATTTCATTCATAATAAGGCGGCCTACATCTAAATAGATAAATGTGGTAAACTGCATATATATATCCGTTACGAACATTTTTTCAATAAAAAAATTTCAATTTCTTTATCAGGAGATAATTCTGCCAAGTTTATCAGCCATATGCACTTTTAAATGAATCCCTCTAATATTGAAAGGTCTTTGATAGGCAGTCCTTATGGCAAACAAAAGAATTTAGAACCAAACTTTTACGCTTTTAAGGCGTTAGAAAGTTCTGAGATTGATACTTCCAATTTTTACATACTTCATAATAGACTGCACCTCGTTACGAAGTATAAAAGGTCACTAATGGTTATATCCAAAGCAGGATTAGATCGCTAAGTATTACAGCAGTAACTGATAGCTCGCACTCTCTAACCCTCACACTAGGAAAATTGTACGCAGATAGATTCGACTATTACAGTGTTGTTGTTGTTGTTGTTGCAGTCGAATAAATAATCATGACCATTACGGTATAAAGACCACACTTTACAGTAGCTCAGATCTTCCAAGTAGCACTGATTTCATGGTCACATAAGAAATTTCTGCGAGATGTATGGGGAAGAATATACAATATTTAAGCGATAAAGCATGTCCGTCGTAAGAGGTCATTAAAATCGAATAGTTGTCCACCAGTGGGCGCGAGAAGCGGCACCAAAATGCGGTAGTGCAAAGAAGCTAGCTGAAAAAATAGAGAACTCAACATTCCATCAACGATGACACCACCACCAGAATTATGGGCATTATTACTTTCCCTTCTCGCTATTCTTTAATTTCTATAACTCGAAGATTTCTTTACTAAAGGGAAGGGAGTGCCCTTGATAGTTCTCACCAATCACTTTTTGCACTTCTTCAATGAACGACAGTCGCAGCAGCGATGCGAAAGTCGATGGTGTAAAAATTCTTTCAACTAGCAACCCAATTTTGCTGGGAGTCACATTCGGCAGCCTGCACTCCGCCTACGACTGCAATTGCCAGAAAAGCATAGAGCCACAACAAAACCTTTAAATCGTTAGCCGACAGCACCTGAGGAAAATGCAAAGAGAGATGAAAAGAGAAACGATGCCGGCAATTGGCCGGCCGGTCTTAAACTACGCTGCTCCGATAAGGACGCTGAGGACCACAGAGACGCTATAAGAAAGTCAGAACACCGCTTTCAGGACTATGACAGGAAATCTAAAGTCATCGTAGAATCACATGCGCAGTGAAATATCTGTGCTACGAGTTATGCTGTGCAAGCAATATCTGGGAGGATGCTATCCCAACAGACATTTACTAGAGACTGAGCCTTTACCTCGGCACATCTGTACGGCTACAGACTCCATTTCATTGACAAGAACCGCTGAACAGGATGGTGACATATCCTAAACGCTACTCATCGATAGTCCGCTAAAACTTTTATGAACTCTGCTCCTTCGTGGAATCCCAGCACCAGATATGGTTATTATAGTCGACTCAATTCCTACATATCCAGACTTTACGCTGACATGACCAAAGTTAGTCCTGAATATAATGAGACCTTAACTATCTCTTTATATGACCCTTAAATCTCTGCTCCTTCATGGAATCCCAGCACCAGATATTGGAGACGAAACGCTCGAACTGTCTAGGTAGCCCCGAGTAATTCTAGTCCCGAGTATAATGAGACCTTAACTACCTCTTTACATGACCCTTAAATCTCTGCCCCTTCTTGAAATCCCAGCACCAGATATTGGAGACGAAACGCACGAACTTTCTCGGTAGCCCCGAGTAATTCTGGCAGAATTAAGATCTGGATATGATAATGGACTCAGTTCCTACATATCCAGACTTTACGCCGAGATGCCTAATGTTCGTCCTGATAACAATAAGACCTTAACTACCTCTTTGCATGACCCTTAAAACCTACTCATCCTACCCTCCTCCTACTCCTACTGATTTGAAAACGTCGAAAGTGCTTGTTTTTTGTACTTCTCGTTAGATGATCTAGGTAACTTAAACTAGTCTCGCCTGCTCCTAAAAGTGGTTGGAAATCCACTACAACAACAACAAAAACATCTTGGTATATACGCATAATAGCGCTTATCTTTGCACCTCTGTCAACCCGTCCTTTTCCCGTTTCTTCACTGTGAGACTCTGAAAACTTTTTTTCACAAGCTAAACAGAGTAGTACTGCTTAGATTCACCTTTCGCTGGCGGCAGCAACGGTGGTATGAGAAAAGGAACGTGGCTGGTAGCAAGATGCAAATGAAGAAGTTTTAGACCGTGCACCAGCTGTTCTGCTAGATATTCATGCCACTGGTTCTTAACAGTAACGCCTCTACTTGCAAGCAGTATGTGCTAGAGCGCGATCGATGGGCAGGACTAGCTGAACTTACAGAAGGGCCGCTTGCAGTTAACTTAGTCAACACTTTCCTTAACGTTCTTCCCCTGAAAGACGGTTATTGGTATATAATCAATACTTAAAGTGAAGGATGTGCCTAAGCTGCACACATTGTGCGGCGGCGCTATTAAGATCAGGGATATTGCAGTAGATTAAAGTGTGCGTAGGTATGTTCAACACCGAATGAGTACGCATTCGACACTAATCTCCGCTTCACGTATCTTAAAGCTATAAATCCAACTTTCCTCTCCTTTTGGTCTGACCCCATCGAAACAGCGCATATCCTGGAACTTCTCTTAGATGATATCGATGACGTAAACTATCTCTGTGTGCTGCTTAACGGCGTAGAGAACCGCCCCAGCCATAACAAGGAAGGCAGTAATAGCAAAGAACCTGGTCGCTTCTAAGGTTTGTGGCGGTAGCGGCTTTTGCCTCTTCCAGCGTTAAGTTGAAGCCTGCACTTGGTAGTCTGTAGGTTATCCTTTCATAAGTTGGGTACGCTCTCAACGTGTGTAACCAACTCAATTCTCTCATTTATGTATGCGGTGATTTACATTTTCTAAGCTTCTGTGATATTGTTTTTGAATGACAAAGCTTATTTAATAAGAGTCGTTATAAAAGTTTATATCTATTAAAATACACACATACATTCATTGAAATAAACATACACACATACATACGAGTACATATGCTTGCAGGTGTTTATAAATTAGTAGACATAGACAAGTGCGTTTGAACATTAGTTGGGTCTCTTGGTTAAGATGACTGCACACATACATTCATAAGCACAAGTACGTTACGCGGGTATATACATACATACATACATGATATTTACGTTACATTGCTGCCTAGCAAATTTTTCATTGTTGGGGTGTTTGTAGCTGCTGCGGGCGGTTTTCTTACTATCAAAGCATACGCGCCATCAGACGCCAAATCATTTCGCGCTTGGCTGTCGGGCGACACAGACGTTTCGTGACAATTTTATCGCTTTCTTCTGCTGGAGTCGAAAATCGTACAAATCGGATGGTATCTGTTTTTTCTTAAATTCAAAGAGTTAAAAGTGAAAAAAAGTGTAAAGTCAAACGAGACAAGTTTATTGGACTTTTTAGCGAGATAAAAAACAAGTTGAAGTCAATTAATTATTTTTTCATAAAACTGAGTAAGAGGTATGTAAGAGTGCGAGAGAGAGCGAGCGGAAAATATAGTTTGGATTGTGAAACTAAAAAGTTTACTGGCACTTAGTGCCTTTAAAAGGATTTAAAAGAATTTGTTGTTATAAAATCTCAACTTTTAATAAATAATAATTTAATCTAATTTGAGAAAAAAATAAAAACAAAAATAAAATGAAAAATAAAATAAAAAGGAGTATATGTATGTATACTCGTATGTATGTATAAAATTATTACATTTTATAATAATTAAATAAAAATATTTTACTAAAACTTAATTAGAAAAATATGAAATTTATGCAAATTTAAAAACTTAGATACATGACTTTATAAAAAAAAAAAATTAAAAAAAAACTATAATAAAAATCACTCTACTAAATATTTAAAAAAATTATAAAATATTTAAAAAATGTAAAAATCAATATAAAAGTTTATTTAAAAATAAATTAATCTCATGCTTAAAAAAATTGAATTAAAAAAAAAATAATTATACTAAATATTAATTAAAAAATATATATTTAATATTTAAAAAAATGCATAAAAACGTAGGTAAATGTCTGTAAAAAAAGAACAAACATTCCATGCCTAAAAAACAACAAAAATCAAATCAAAATCATTCTTCTAAATATTAATTAAAAAATATAAAATATATAAAAGATATAAAAAGCAATTTAAAAAGTTTGTATGAAAATAATATCATACATAAAAAAATAAATAAAATAAAATAAAAATCATTCTGCTAAAAATTAATTAAAAAATATATATTTAATATTTATAAAATACATGAAAACGTAGGTAAATGTGTGCAAAAAAAAAAGAAAAACATTCCAGGTCTAAAAAAGAACAAAAAATCAAATAAAAATCATTCTTCTAAATATTAATTAAAAAATGCAAAATATATAAAATATATAAAAAATATAAAAAATATAAAAACCAAGATAAAAATAGAAAACAATATTCATTCTACTAAATATTGTATTAAATGAAAAAAAAACGAAAAATATATAAAAATATAATTAGTGAATGCAACGAATCCAATTAATGCAACAACTTGCAGTTTTATTGTTGTGTCACGCATTCTTTGCAAATACATATACATACGACTTTTTATTAACAAATATATATACACATGTGAATTCGTATATATGTTTGTAGTTTTTTATATGCGAAAAAAAACAATAATTAATTTTCTTATGCAACAAGAGTTGGTAGACAGGACCATATTGCATATTGAATTTAAACATTTATTTGCTTACAATAATATACTTAAGAGATATGTATATATGTATATAAGCGTGTATCTGTAAAATTTGTAAGCCTGCATGTAAAAACATTCAAATATTGTATTTCGTTTCGTTTTTTTTTTTTCAATTTATATTCGAATTTATATGCAACTGCATTTAACTGCAGCTACAAACCTACATACATACACATACATATGTACTATTGCAACGGCGCATGCTCCACTGCATTAAAGACTTATGTAATTGGCGCTCCAACGCTCTGCTGCTTACCAGTTATTTTCTATGAAATTTCTAATTTTTTTTTTGTTTTTTTGTGTTTTTGTTTTTTGGATTGCATCAATAACCTGACTCGGCATGCTGAAGTAAAAGAAAAATGAAAAAAAAAACAATGAAACAAAGGCAAAAATGTAACAAATAAAATGTTAGTTTTGTGACTCTCGAATTGACCTAAGCGAAGTGGTAAGAAGTGAGAAGAAAAGACAACAAGAAATGATAAATGCAATGAAATGGACGTTCCAAATAACTGTTTTTTTTTATGTACTCGTATGTATGTATGCATGTTTGCTAGAAGAAAAGTTTCAAGCTGCTGGATTACTCCAATATGTGAAAGAGACTCATTGGTTGCTTTGAGTGGCTTTTGTTGATAATTGCATTTTGAATATTTCGCTTAAATACTAATTGCTGAAGGCTTACAAGCACAAACAATGAACAATGAGATTCGTTCGGCTTTTGCTTTGATTGCAGTCGAAACAAAGAGCACAACAATTTTTTTTTATAATTTTTTTATTTAAAGTATTTCATTGTTATAAACGTTTCTTTTTTGAATTGTTTCGGTCCTCAGTTGATTAACGAAATTAAAGTTAAATTGAAAAACAGCAGCTTCCCATCAAAGTGTCAAACATATCTTCGACTTCTTTTTCAAAAAAACCAAAAACAGTTTTTCACTTTCCATAAGAAGTTTTTTTTTTTTTTGTGAAAAAACTAAGAAAAATGATTGAGACGCACGCAATTTTTGCGATTCCAAAAGATTAGCTTGTTTTGTGGCAGATTTGCTTCGCTTCTGATCCTTCCAACAGAGTGGAAGTCATCCTTTTCCTCTTCCTTTGATTCCACCATCGGGTACAGCATCAAATAACTACAAGGCTGCAACGCTTTCATCCGTTCGAACGACTACCTAGCGTAACCGTTGTCTCTTCATTCGTTAAACTATGCCAATGTCACTATTCCACCGTCGTTGCGATAAAAAATTCTCTCGTAGACTCCCAGGTTCGACTCATCACATCATGTCGACATCGTTCTGCACCATATAAAAGGGACCGTATGATGAGCGCCTTGTAGAGTTTGCTATTCAATTGCCTACTCAGTCCAAAGTAGCACCTGTTGGCAAGAGTGATTCTGCATTGAATTTTAAGAATGACATTATTATTGGTGTTAATGCTGGTTTCCTAGATATATACGATCTCGAAGTTATGGCTGTCAACAGTGACGTGCGAGCCGAGTCGCGAATGTGATGTCTATTTGTTTGATGGCAGAAGATAAAATTCGTTTTGTACAATACCATTAAGTGAATCAATAAGTCCCGACTTGATCGGATCATCTTCTTCAACTGTAACGATGTTGCCACTCTAGGAAATCTGTGAGTCTCAAAATGCTTACCAAACTAGTCACTTGCAATGGCTAATACTAACACCTGGCCTGGACATTCAGACCGTGAAAAACGTGTTTTTGGCAGCTTAGTTTTGGCGATAACCTTTTCATTAGAGCAAAATTTCTGTCGAGTGAGCATTTCTTCGAGGTCAGTGAACAACCAGAAGTCGATGGGATTGAATATGGTAGATGTGGGAGCAGCTCGAATTTGATTTCATATAGCTTTGCCATTATTTCGATTGAAACGGTGCCTTATCTTAATGAAATAAAATTCTTTTCTTTGTCCTTTGCGTTCATTTCTTTGCAATTGCAACCTGGAAACTGTTTTGATGATATTTTTCATCTCAAGTTAGTCAATAAATATTACGCCAAGCAAATTCCCAATCACCGAGGGATCCATTGTTTTGCTTTAAGACGATTTGGTCGTGGATCACTAGTTGCTACCTACTCAGATGACGGTCGTGTCGGTGGTTAGTACGTAGTGCCATCTAAAATTATAGAAAATTAACTTTTCTAATTACGGTCGCCGCTCGGCTGGAAATGTTAACACCTCCGAGTGTATTATCTATATAACACTCACCATTCTTGGGAGAATATAGCAGAGAGCCAAAATGCTCGAAAATGTTCGAATTCTGGCATGAAATAAAAAATGTGCTCATAAAGTCTATTAGCCGCTTGGAGGCATCTTGCAGCTGGAAGTCCCCCGCTTTGTTGAAAAAGTATCAAAAGTCATACCACAAATAGAAGGCCAAAAAACACCTCAGCGGTTATAGAGCGCCAATAACATTTATATATAATAGATCTGTATGTAAGCCTCCAACGCATAATATTCTAATGAGCAGATTCGAAATGTCTGTAAAATTGTTGTTTAACGGGTTTTTTTTGTAGAAATATTTATTATTCATCTATATTCATCATAGGCTCTATTTTACTGATTCTCTTCTTGTCATCAATTAATTATATACATACATATTTACACCTGTGAATGAAGAGGCAAACTATCAATTTTATATAAGATTCATTTGGCACGCACTATATACAATTATATACATATTTACATATGCATACATATAACTAAAGTTTTAGCAGAATCTTAGATTAAGCACGTAGATTTTCATAAAAATGTAAATTTATACGACTTTCACTCAAATTGTTGCACTCAAATAAGATAGATAAACTCGTTAGAGTGGTCGTTACAGATTTATTATTTTTCGATGTTTAGAAAAATCGTTCTTTCTGAGGAGATAATATGATTTTTTTTATATTTATTTATATGTCAGTCTCAAACAAACTGATTTAGGTTATTTTTTATGTAATACAAAAACTTTTCGGGGCAAAAAAAACTTAAATTTAATATTAAATTTTATATTTTGGGATTAGCTAAATTCTCTATTGAGGAGTAGTAATTAACATTTCAAGGAATAAAATAAAAGAAAGGGAGAAATATTTAACGCCCCCTTTATAAGTACAAATAAATATGTACATTTTTTGAAAAAAAAAACAGTTAAGCATGAAAATAGGAGGCATTACTCGCCATCCATGCAATTTGTGGAACGATTCGTACAACAAGCACGTCAAACCGGTTCGCTATCGAACAAAACAACTCGCATACATGTTCGTCCATTGTGTTCAGGAGAGAACTTATAATAACGAGAAGATGCAATTGACTTTTGGTTCGATGCTCGATTGAAATTTCTACAGAGCTAGAAAATTATATTATTATAAATTCTCTGGATCAGTTCGAAGTGTACTAAAACCGACATGCAAATTGACTGGACGCCGTCACCATGATTTTTGCAATAAGGAGCTAGATATGAAGATTTATAAAATCCATTTGGTCCAAAATAAAGCCTCATGACCAACCATCCGATGCAGTTTCATTTTGCTCAAAGGGCTGAAGAGATCGCATGGCGGAAGTTGAACATTTTTAACGAAAAATCTTGCTTTCCGATTAAGCTCTTTTTCACCTCGGTGGCTATTTGCTGTTCTTGGGCTCAGAAAACTAGCAAGTAATCATTGAAAAATCAATAGCGTCAATTATATTAGATATATATATATATATATATATAATAAAATTACCCAATTGTTGAGGAGAGCAGTTTAAAA